CACTAGAGGATTTTCAAATCTTAACTGATTTTAAAAAAGTGGGATACCACAGACATAAAGACAGAATTAAGCACTTTTTAAGTATTTTAATCTTAAGCACACACACCAGATGATTCAGTCCAGACGCAGGACCACACGTACTTAACGATTTCAGAGTAAGCAGATCTCACAGAAACCGGCGTGATCAAACGTGACTTCAGGTGCACCGATTTCAGGAATGGCGATTTTTCTGCCAGATAATGCGATTACGATTCAATTTGTGCAAATTTTTAAAATTAAATTTTAGCTAAAGTTCAATATTCATTGCCAGTCTGTTTTGACTGAAGCCTCGTCAAGCAGCACAGAGCAGATGAACCAGGCAGGAAGTCAGACACAGAACGACATAGAGAATCCACTTGATTTTCAAAATAAAACACCCATTGCAGATTCCCTATCATACATCAACTATAAACACAGTGAAAACAGACCAAAAAAAAGACACAATTTAACTACGTAGTCTGCTTAACCATGGTAGAAGCACAAAAATGAAGGACAACTTAAAAAATAAGCAAAATTTGAACAAGTCAGCAAAATCAGGCAGGCAAAACGCTCTGGCGCCATGATCCCACATTTTTCTCTTGTTTCATTTGTTATTGTAAAATGTACACGCCCTGTGCCCCCTCTGATTGGTGAGGAGGACCGTAACAGGAGACGCACAGCGCTTGTGATTGAATCTGTTACTGCAAGACTCTTGCGCTGTATAACTAACCTTCACGATTAGCTAAATCGCATTCTTTCAAATCGCAATTTCAATTTGAAAATGATTAATCGTTCAGCCCTAGTATCGGGCAAAGATCCGATATCAGTATCAGATCGTTGGATCCCTAATTTCAGACAGAAACAAACAGACTGTCGTCAGCAGCTGGTTGACCTTGTGGGTGCTGTGTTTTGCAAAGAAAAACAAGAGAATCAAACTGTGGACGAACTCGAGACTGAGAAGAGGGAATCAGCAGGTTAATACATTTTATGGCGCGAGCAGATACACAACACGATGGTGAAGCTTCCCGCTCAGCTCGCTCTCATTGGCTCTTGCGGGTTTCTGCTCAATATTCCGTCACTGTTCCTTACACAGGACAGGAAACAATCAGAGTCTCCCCGAGTTTGAATCGTATTCCAGATATTCAGGAGCCTCCAATCCAGTTGGTGACCCTAAGATTATGTCCGTCACACGACAGGATCGTTTTGGGCTGATTATCTGGTCAGACCAGCCTCAGATCAGCTGTCAGGAGGAGCGAATCAAACCCAAAATCGGCCCAACTATCCTCCAGTGTGTGGCCAGGATTAGCATTCAGAACATGTATTTTACAAATAAGAGTTTGTTATATTTGAAGAACGTGGGGCTAAAATGCGAAAATGAACTTAATGGGCTTAGCAAAGGCAACAAAGGTGATGGATAAAATAAGACTCAACTGAGTTGTAATAAACTTAAATTTAAAAGTCAGAGCAAAGACAGAGAGATGGATGGAGAGTGAAACAAAGAGAGTGAAAGAACAGAGAGAGCAGTCACTTTCCATAGATAGCCCACAGATACAGTAGGTGACAGAGAGAGGAAAGAGGGATGAGGAGGGAGCAGAGGTCATTTTGGTATTTCATCCCAGCCACAGCCGGCCTTTTATGACCAGCCAACAGGACTGCTCTGACCAACCAGCCGCAGCAGAGGAGGTCACATGCTGCGGTGACCTTCACAGAGAGGTTATAAAGCGAGGTGATGCTCCGTGGGGTGACTTATTCTCTTCTTCTGCACATCCTCACAAACTACGCTGCAGCAGCAACAACAAAAAATAAAATCAACCAGGAGCTTCAGACCTTCAAACCAACCCAGCACAGTGAGTACACTTTACTTCATTACCCATGAGCCTCAGCGGCCGCTGCTGTGGTTTCACGCAAAAGACAAGGTAATACAAATGTTAAACACACTTTGGTGTTTCATTTTTACCTCTTTACTTACGAATTCATTAAACTCTAAGAAGGAGGAAGCTCATGGGGAGATAATGAGAATAAATATGAAACAAATACTACTCCAAACATCTCTGAGGTTTCAGTTCAAACATGATTACTAGATATTTATTCAATGCTGAACCATAGAAGAATAACGTACATCTTTGGATGGAAAACAAAAAAAAATAATACTGAATGGAAATGCTATTAACTCTTTCAGTCAACCAAACGAGCAAAGGGGGGCGTCTGAGCCGGGGGTCCAGATTAAGTCCACTTACGTACAACATAGATCTTGTGGTCCTGTCTTGCTGACTTATGTTACTTTATATTATGCTCATATTTTACTAAATAAAACTGTGTTTAATCAAACTACCACAATCAAATATCAGCACAGGTCAGCATAGCGGAGCTGCCAATATATTTCGACAGAAGTCCTTGTTGAGGGTCTGCGCCTGACAACGAACAATCCGACATTTCCACACTCTTCACGCAGTCATCGCTCAGGTGTGTGCAGGTGTGAAAGTAAACAGAGGGTAGAACTTAACTTCACTTCACGTCACTTTTCATGTGAACTACTGAGTGCAACGCCATGAATGTCTTTCAGGAGAGAGCGTCTGAAAATGTGCCCCAACAAATATTGTGTCTTACCCACAATTTTTTTGCCTTCTGTTAAGGCCGGACGATACGTCGCACTGCTCAGCCTTGAAGCAGACGCCTAGATATGATGGAATACAAACAAGGGGGTCCTTTAAAGTCTGTTAGTTAGCCTGAGGCGACAGGGTTTTCACAGCGGCCCACAGGTGGGAGGATGGGGATGCGAAGAGTAAATTTAGGTTAATCCAGCTATAATTAATATTATAATTATAACTTTCTTTATATATCACTTACAAAAGATAAACACAGGGTGAAAAAGGGCACGTAACACCAATGCAAGATACAAAATGAAAAAGAAATGGGAATCACAAGCATGAGACCAGAATAAATAGTAACTTTATATGACCAAAATAAACAGGCAACTCAGATAAAATCAGGATATTCCTTCGGATAAAAGTGCGTTTTCGAGAGATTTAAAAGAAGACACTTACTCTGAGAGCCTTACTTCCTCGGGCAGGTCGTTCCAGAGCCCAAAATTAACCCTAACATTAGTTTCACAGAAAGACAAGCTGAAGCTCTCAGATCTCTTCAGGGTTTAACGTTGTTAACATCAAGTTAACGCTGTAATATTTTTTGGCATTTTGTCCTGATGGTGAAAAGGAAGGCGAGAAGGCTTCATCTTGCTTCTGAGCCCATTTATAGCACGATCACACTCATAAAGAGCAACATCTATTGTCTGACCATGGCTCAAGACCATCACGTGGTTAGATGTACAGTTAGGATTTGTCCCCGCAGTTCGTTCGTATTATCTCAGGCATGGAAAGAAAATAATAGGGGGAGAGGCCCGAGCATTGCAAACGGATCCTCTTGAGCTGATGTGGCAGCTGTTAGCTCACTGTGAAATCCTGAGTTATGCGTTGCGGTGAGCCAAACATAGTGAAAATGGCTGCCATGCCAATTTGTTGACATCATACTTCAGTTTGGGTCTGTCTTTGGGTTTTACAGCTCAGTGAAGGAGACAACTGGTTTCAGTTGTGATGTTGGGAAATAATCCTTGCAGCAGGTGATATTCTATATGTTCAACAAATCTCCTAACAAGTACTGTGTCTCAGCGCGATGTCTCACTGCTGCACTGGGTCACATGTTCCTTCATCACCATGAACACACACACTCTGTAGTTTATTCTGACTCAGTCCCACACACACCGTCCTGCTGATCCAAATACTCACTACAGCACCACATGTGGATTCACCTGTTTCCTCCGGTTTGTTTGAGCCTTTTTGAAGCATGAAACTATATAATAATAATAATAATAGTAACACACATACACACATATATATATTATCATGACCAGGCTTGAAGACCATAATATACATAGAGACATCTGTGAGGTGTTTTTAAAGATTTTGGTCTTCAGTAGGACCCAATGGTCTTGGGGGGGATCACTAGTATAAACATCCTTTTCCATTTCGAACCAATTCGCTTTATTTTATTATCAAAATTTAGTGTTTGATGGATTGTTTATGTTGAAAATTGCAGAATCCAGAATCCTGTGAGGGCGATCTGCTGGACAACACACAGTGATTTTGTCAGGAAACAGCAGATGTGTTTAGTTAATGTGTTGTTTGGGGGCCTGGTGTGTAACCAAGAACAGTTCATGTGTCTGCTGTCAGCACGACGATCAGACTGAATTTTCATTTCTTTTCACTTTGTTATTTAGCGTGCCATTACATCAATGCACACCACCTCACTGGGGCCGATCGTTAAGCTCGCATGGCTTCTCTTAAGACAATACACGACTCTACCCATCCTTCCCGCCAACCCCATCGTCTCAGGGGGATCACGGACTGTCTCTCGGACAGTTTCTCAGACGTATCCGCACAGATGAAGACTTGCCACCTCCAACTAAACGACTACTGGGTCTGCACCATCTACCCAAACTCCATAATACAAGTTTACGTTCCTTCACTGCGCTCCTCCAACTAAACGCCGCCTGGCTCTGCCATCCCTTCACACAAAGCGACCTCAGTCCCTGTTCTGATCTCTGACCCCACGATGGTGGAACGAGGTGCCGCACGCCGTCAGAGCAGCGGCGTCCCTCTCTAACTTCAAGAAGCTCCTGAAAACTCTACAGATAACACTTCCTCTGAAAACACCTCTAACATGCACTTCCTGTGCTCTTCTTCTTCTCCTCTCTCTCGTATTGATAGAACTAACCCTGACTTCTTTCTCTAGATATTGACCCCAGAGAAGCCGTCTGCACTAACAGCTCTTAGAAGTATTTATTGCTGCTTTTCCTGCTACGTGTAGATCTCTTACTGCATTTCGCTCTGAATAAAAGCGTCTGCCAAATGAGTAAAATGTCAATTCTGATCACGACTCTTCAAAACAGCTAAGGAACGTGTGTTTCAATGTGTTCTTGTGTTCAGATGTCTCGGTTCACGGATATGAAGGAGTTTGGAGAATCTGGTCGCTACCTTCGTCTCACCAACTTGGAGCAGCTGGCTGCCAAGGCCCAGGCTTTCGACGGTATAGACTTGTGTCTACAGTGTATATATATATATATATTTTAAGTGTACATTTACTGAGTACTAAATGAGAAACTGTGTAATCTAATTCTTCCAGGTACGAAGCGTGTCTGGATGCCTGATGAGGTTGAAGCGTACATCGAAGTGGAGGTTAAAGAGGTGAATGGAGACAAGGCCACCGTGGAGACCAAGGACGGACGGGTTAGTTAATCAGTTTACTAATCTTTAAATATTATTAATGCGTTCATTTTTTTGTCATTTAATGTACAAGTCACTCAGGTTGTCAATAACAGTAGTTATCAGTTTGGTTTTAGCAATATATTAATTCTACAGGCTGTGATGTGACTGTACTGAACTTTCAAATGTTATTGGCTGCATAGTTTACTTGCGTGTTCACTCCGGCATAAAAGGACGGAGTAAGTTTTCTAGAGGACTGCACTAGTGTTGTAGTACTCGAGACCGCTCTTGGTCTTGTCCTCGACCGCATTTGTACTCAGTCTTGTCTCGGTCTCGGACACTGAGGACTCGGGATTTTATTTTAAGACCAGTCAAGACCACAACTTTAGGAATACCAATAAATTTCTTTTGCATTGACTGATTTATTTGTTAACATCCTAACTTTGATTGGATGGAAAACTCATTGCTTCAAATGCATCCAATAACCCTAATTAAAAATGTTGTTGTTCCCGTTAACATCTGTCCCCCCTCCCCGTGATGGTCACGGAAGAGGAGTGTTGATTTCAGCTCTTAGTGTTTGTATGTGGGCGTTTTAATGGGAATGTGGATCTTTCCACTTAGTTTGAGAAGCACCTCTGATCTCGTTCCACATTTTATTGTGTGTCATGTAATGCGGGGAACTGGTCTTGACTTGGTCTCGGTTTTGGGCGGTCTTGACTACAACACTAGACTGCACTAGGGACCGACACCAATACCTGGGCTTTGGGTGTCGGCCAGTGTAAAATGAATAAGCGGTATTCCTCACTGTGAAGAAGAGACTGGAAGTTTTTATGCTCGTCATTTATACTATAGAGCGACCAATACATATTTTTAGGGACAATAATAATATTCAAGAGTTAAATAAAACAAATATATTGTATTTATTTTACGTAAACCTAAATATCTTTTGATAATGAAAGACTTGGTTTAAAGCCAAACCTCTCTCTTATATATGTGTGTTCCAGTTTCTGATAGTAAAGGAGGCCGACCTCCAGCCAATGAACCCTCCGAAGTTTGACATGATGGAGGACATGGCCATGCTGACTCACCTAAACGAAGCGTCTGTCCTCTTCAACCTGAGGAGGCGATACAGCATGTGGATGATCTATGTTAGTGTTTATTCTGATACACACCTGCAGCACTCTTTCCTCCTCGTCTGGGCCTTTCTAACGCTGTGTCTCTGTGTCAGACCTACTCTGGTCTGTTCTGTGTGACAGTCAACCCTTACAAATGGCTGCCGGTCTACTCTGCTGAGGTGGTAACAGCCTATAAAGGGAGGCGTCGCGCAGACACGCCACCCCACATCTACGCCATCGCCGACAACGCCTACAGTGACCTGCTGCAGAGTGAGTCCCCTGTAACCTCTAACATTAGCCCTGTGGGTTGACCTCACCTGGTCTTTACACCGTTAGATGCTTCAGGCCACTATCCTAGTGTTTTAGTACATGAGACCGGTCTTAAGACCACATATTGATGGTCCTGGTCTTGTCTCAGACTCGACCACATTTGTACTCGGTCTTGTCTCGGACTCTGGATTTTATTATTTCAAGACCAGTCAAGACCATAACTTTGGGAATTCCAATAAATTCCTTTTGCATTGGCTGATTTATTTGTTGGATATAAAACTTATTGTTTCAAATGCAACCAATAACCCTAATTAAACATGTGTTCCCGTTAATGACTGTCCCCCCTCACCGCGATGGTCAGCATGGAAAAGGAGCGTTGAATAAAGATGCTGACGTTGGTTTCAGCTCTTAGTGTTTTAATGGGAATCTGGATCTTTCAGATCAATCTGAGAAGCACCTGAGATCTCGTTCCACATTTTATCGTGCGTCATGTAATGTGGGGAACTGGTCTCGACCTAAAAGTCTCGGTCTTGACTACGACACTACAAACGTCCATCCAGCTTTCCTCTTTACTGCTCATGTGCAGCTCTGCTCCCCATAAAGCTCTACAATATTAGACTAGAATATCTTTAAGGTATTTCTTTTAGTTATCCCGTTCATTTTACTGCACAATTGTAATTTAATCAGACCTGCAAACCCTTTATTTCCTTCCTAACTTACAACAATGAAATCAGATTATACGGATGCGGCCGAGTTATTAAAGTAACGTGATTACTGTAATGTAGCTTTTTGTTGTAACACAGTAAATAACATGACTAATCTCAGTAAGGAAACATGAAATCAGTGGTGATTTGTTATTTTAATAATTCACCAACACCACAACACATTTCTGCACCAGAGAAAAAAAGAATATCTGTGAGTAAAAGAGTGACGTTATTTTCTGCTGCTGAAGTTGGATGGTTGAGATTTTAGGCATTTTATTCTACATGTGTTTAACTATTTGATTTCCTGATTAGAGAGGCTGCTGTAAAGTGCATCCTGACAGGGAGATTTTACCTTGTGCATTAATGCGCACAGCGTCTTTAGTAATGGAGGGACAATTTCATGTGCAGTCAGAGCGCTTACTAACATTAACACTAGTTTGCCAAACACTTCCCATACATAATTTCATACTACTATCTCGAAGACTGGAAATGCCTGGCTCCTTCAAAAACTATTATTTAACTAAATTAAAGACTTTTCTTTTACAGAAAATACTTTTTCTGAATAACTTCTCAGCTTTTACCAACACGTGTTATTTAATTATTAACAGAAATACGAGTCTTCAGTTGTGTCCAACTAAACTTTTCACTTTATTGATCGATAATTCAAGTACAAATTTAAGGGTGGATGAATTTCCAGAGGCATTCGAATGATAGATTGAATTTCTGTCTTTATACACCTAAAAGCTGTTGAAATTAAAAAGACTTTCTAAAATATGTTGTGCTGTGTTTATGTAGACTCTCTTAATGTTGGTTGTCAGCTGGCTTTAAGTCCATATTGAGCTTACAGACGTGAAATAGGTATAAATGTTCGAATCTAACTCTCTGCAAGAAAGTCCCAGTCAGCTACAGCGAATAGCATTTCCAGGTTAATTAAGGTTAATTAGACCTTCAATTATAAATGCCAGGTTCTACCGCTGCTCCTCTACGGGTCCTTAACTTGGCTTCATTTCCCTCCACAGATCGTGAGAACCAGTCGATGCTGATCACGTGAGTCAGAGCGGCTTCATCATTACAGGCTGTTGGATTAGCCAGAAATTTCAAAATTAAGCTATTTACTATTTACGCAGTGGTGAAATGTACAATTTAAAGAACATTCAATCGAAAATACTGTACTTAAGTACAAATTTAAGGTACTTGCACTTGAGTATTTAATGCAACGTCCTGCTTCTACTCCACTTCATCTCAGAGGCAAATATTTTACTTCTACTTACTACCAGAATAAAGAATCTAAGTATTTCTTCCATCACTGGTTATATTTCATGCACTTTATAAAAGAGAGCGTCTTCACCACCAGAGCCTTTTTTATTCTTCTTTAATCTGAGTCACAGCAGTCGTGATCTTTCACTTTATTTTTGAACAATCCTTCTGTCCGTTATGTCGTCCTGTCAGTGGCGAGTCAGGCGCAGGGAAAACAGTCAACACCAAGAGGGTGATCCAGTACTTTGCCATCGTCGCTGCTCTGGGGGAACACGTGAAAAAAGGCGTACGTCTTCTCAGTGTTCCACTTATATTTATTAGCGTCTTGTTGCTTCACAGTAGATTTTAAATAAGTGAATACTGGGACTTTATTGTGTTTACATGCGTGTCAGCCTCTGTCTCTCTGTTTTATTCAGGGGTCTTTAGAGGACCAGATCATTGAAGCTAACCCGGCCATGGAGGCGTTCGGCAACGCCAAAACCATCCGCAACGACAACTCCTCTCGCTTTGTAAGTTTAATAAAGTCTTAATGACTGCACAGGCTGGAGCTGAGGAGGGAGTGCTGGGTATAGTTATGTGTCAGATATCAAATGTAACTATGTGAGCTACTTGTAGTTTTTGTCTATTTTCCTTTTCATGCCACTTTCTACTTCAAATCCCCTTCTTTAATATTTTTGAAGGTTTGGACTGTTGGTTGGACACAACAAGCATTGTGAAGATGTAACTTTGGGCTCTGGGTAACTGTGACAGAATTTTTACAAACCAAACAATCAGGCGATTAATGGTGAATTTTATTTATATATATTACCAAAAAGTTATCTTATTTTACTTTAAATAGAGCAGGTCTAGACCGTCCAGACCCAGCAGCTCCCCTTTAACAAGTGGAGTGGAACCTGGACTCAGGACCATCTGCATCCATTAGCAGCGGATACAAGTCGCCTCTATCCTGATTGACAGGTCGCCATGGTAGCGACTTGTCAGTCACCTTGTAGCCCTGCCCTAAAGCCTCCCCTGCTTCCTGGTCTCTGTTCCTCTAAATGGGACCATAATTTACTAAATGAACATCATGCTGTGTTGAAGAAGACTTGAAACTAACGACTGAGACCATAAACTCATCAGGAAAGTGTTTACTGAGGGAATAAATCAGCTGACAAGCAGAAACATTTTCTCACAGACTTCTAGACAGCGAGTGGAGTCGCCCCCTGCTGGCGGTTACAGAGAATGGCACTTCAAACTTGGCTTAAGTTCGCAGATCCGGAAGTTCCCGCTTGGTAGAGAAATAAATAATCAGCAGTTTAATCCATAATGGAAATAATCATTAGCTGCAATCCGATACAAAACAAATACATCAGTAAAATCGTGCTTGCACATGAATGAATAAGGAATACTAAAATGATGATATAATAGTACAACAGGCTAAGGGGACATTTTACTGCTTTAACTACTTTTACTTAGTACATTTTGACTGCAGGACTTTAACAGAGTGATTTTCACATTTGAGTAACGTATGGATCTGTGTTTGTGTGTCTCAGGGAAAGTTCATCAGAATTCATTTTGGGCCAACGGGGAAGCTGGCGTCTGCTGACATCGGCATCTGTGAGTCACATTTATCAGATTATCCTTCAACTAGTTAGAATTTTCACTAAAGGATGTATTTATGTTTGTATTTAATCAGATCTTCTAGAAAAGTCCAGAGTTGTGTTCCAGCAGCCAGGAGAGAGAAGCTACCACATCTACTACCAGATCCTGTCCAATCACAAGCCGGAACTACAAGGTAGCCCCACCCACCACTGTAACTCAGGTAGCCCCACCCACCACTGTAACTCACCCAATCACAAGCCAGAACTACAAGGTAGCCCCACCCACCACTGTAACTCAGGTAGCCCCACCCACCACTGTAACTCACCCAATCACAAGCCGGAACTACAAGGTAGCCCCACCCACCACTGTAACTACAAGGTAGCCCCACCCACCACTGTAACTACAAGGTAGCCCCACCCACCACTGTAACTACAAGGTAGCCCCACCCACCACTGTAACTACAAGGTAGCCCCACCCACCACTGTAACTCACCCAATCACAAGCCGGAACTACAAGGTAGCCCCACCCACCACTGTAACTACAAGGTAACCCCACCCACCACTGTAACTACAAGGTAGCCCCACCCACCACCGGAACTACAAGGTAACCCCACCCACCACTGTAACTACAAGGTAACCTCACCCACCACCGGAACTACAAGGTAACCCCACCCACCACTGTAACTCATCTAATTACAAGCCGGAACTACAAGGTAACCCCACCCACCACTGTAACTCATCTAATTACAAGCCGGAACTACAAGGTAACCCCACCCACCACTATAACTCAGGTAGCCCCACCCACCACTGTAACTCATCTAATTACAAGCCGGAACTACAAGGTAACCCCACCCACCACTATAACTCAGGTAGCCCCACCCACCACTGTAACTCATCTAATTACAAGCCGGAACTACAAGGTAACCCCACCCACCACTGTAACTCAGGTAACCCCACCCACCACTGGAACTACAAGGTAGCCCCACCCACCACTGTAACGCAGGTAACCCCACCCACCACTGTAACTCATCTAATTACAAGCCGGAACTACAAGGTAACCCCACCCACCACTATAACTCAGGTAGCCCCACCCACCACTGTAACTCATCTAATTACAAGCCGGAACTACAAGGTAACCCCACCCACCACTGTAACTCAGGTAACCCCACCCACCACTGTAACTCATCTAATTACAAGCCGGAACTACAAGGTAACCCCACCCACCACTATAACTCAGGTAGCCCCACCCACCACTGTAACTCATCTAATTACAAGCCGGAACTACAAGGTAACCCCACCCACCACTGTAACTCAGGTAACCCCACCCACCACTGGAACTACAAGGTAGCCCCACCCACCACTGTAACGCAGGTAACCCCACCCACCACTGTAACGCAGGTAACCCCACCCACCACTGTAACGCAGGTAACCCCACCCACCACTGTAACTCATCCAATCACAAGCCGGAACTACAAGGTAACCCCACCCACCACTGTAACTCAGGTAACCCCACCCACCACTGTAACTCATCCAATCACAAGCCGGAACTACAAGGTAACCCCACCCACCACTGTAACTCAGGTAACCCCACCCACCACTGTAACTCATCCAATCACAAGCCGGAACTACAAGGTAACCCCACCCACCGCTGTAACTCAGGTAACCCCACCCACCACCTATTCCTGATATTATTCATCAGCAAAGTAACAAAGAACAAACCACAACCATTCAATAAGAATTTGAATCAGTGTGGTTTTAGCACTTTATCTAAAAATACTTCTCACACAGGTTGAACCTGTGCAGAGGCTCATTCACAAACCGCACACAGTCAACAGGTGACTGAAAGACCAGTAAACATGCAGCAGCAGCAGCACAGATGTCCACACAAACAAGTGCAGAAGATAACTTGCACCAGCTGAACCGACAGACAGGGTGAATTTGACTCACGTTAACTGACGCTGAAGGCTTTTTCTTGCCTTCACGGAAGCGAACTGGTCCTTCTGAAGCTGTGATGTTATTGATCACCTCCATTGCTGCTATAACTAAACTGCCATCATTAGCAGCACTGGGGAACAACTCTCAGCGATGCTACTATCTGCTGTTTGTGTCGGTCTCCGCTCACTTCACAGGCTCCTTCCACATGATGACACTGACTCACCTGATTAGTTCATTAACCTGCACCTGGTTTCCACCTGCGCACTCTGGAAGGCTGCAGTATCATGTGTGGCCGTTACAAACAAGGGGGGCGCTGTTTCACTCATTTCTAACAGATGGCTGCAAAACGGTGGAGGGAAGTAACTAAGTACACTTTTGATTAATTTGTACTTTATATTTCCACTAGCTGCAAATTATGGGCACATTTTACTCCACTATTTTTATCTGATAACTTTAGTAACAAGTTACTTTGTAAATTCAGATTAAGAAAACCAAATAGAATATTGTTATAATGTGTTAGATAAGAATGTCTTGATTCCCAGTGGGAAAGTTAGCAGTATGTGGTGTGAACACATTAATCCATCAATATATTTAATTCTGAAATGGGCCATTCTACGTAATAAGAACTTTTACTTGTGGTACTTACAGAGTGTATATATTTGATGTTAATACTTTTGTACTTTTACTTAATTTTGCTCTCATAAACATGAAGTGGAACATCTTGCAGCCAAAGAGATGGATAGACCAAACCAGTGCTAAAAAAACAGAGATAACTCTGTTTAGCACATTTTAAACTGACCTTACCCCACACGCATGATATCATTTTTCCAGATTTCTGAAGTTGGACTTTTCCTTTTGTCAATTTAACAAATAATTCAAGAGTTCAAGCACACAGTTTAAGCAGAAGGAAAAAAACAAATGTGAACATGAAATCAATAAGTCATGCTCTCGCATTGAAAGACTACGCTCTTGATTTAAGACAGGAAAATAATCCCATACGCCGGCGCATATAAAAATGTAAAAAATTATTATATAACAGTTCAAGGTTGTAAACAATATTGTGCCATTATGTATAAAAACAAATACAGCAGATATATGTAAGAACTAAAACTATTATAGTTTTAAAAATGTCTTTCAAAATTGTGTTATGGTCTGCAGAAAGTCCCACATCAGCACTTTCAACTGGTTTTCTCAGCGCGTCTCTACATGGTATATAAATAAAGTTGTCACTTAAAGTACGAACACTGTATTCACCGATGAGTCGATGGACCACAGAGTCAACTAGAAAAACTGACGTTGTGTGTGTTGTTGTGCACACTTTAGCTTCCATTGTGGTCTTTAATATTAGTTTTAAAGACAAATGGACCCAAGTGAAAGGGATGCAACTTTCTGCTCATTTCTTGGGAGGCAAGTGACTCTAAAAGAAGAATTTGACTGGCATATGATACATCCAATAACCTGTTAACGCTCAGCGATGATTATGATAATTAAGATTATTTAACGCTGGAATTACTGTGGTTGTACTGTGTTGCAGACATGCTGTTGTTGACCACCAACCCCTACGACTACCACTTCTGCTCTCAGGGAGAGACCAAAGTGGAAGGCATCAACGACGGAGAGGAGCTGATGCTGACGGACGTAAGAGACAAACTCCTCACCCCCAAAACCACACACGCTGTTCTGTGATGACATTTAAACTACAGTCTCTGTATGTGCAGCACGCCATGGACACGCTGGGCTTCACTCCAGAGGAGAAGTACGGCTGCTATAAGATCGTTGGAGCCATCATGCACTTTGGTAACATGAAGTTCAAGAAGAAGCAGAGGGAGGAGCAGGCCGAGGCCGACGGCACCGAGAGTAAGACGCACCTTTACTCACCGTCTCATCGGCTCAGATAGAACTGCTGCTGGTCGGTAAAGCAAGGACACAAGATGATTTATTTTGTGCCATAGAAGCATAGAAAAAGCTTCAAATAAGCTTCTTAATAAGGCAGCTTGATTAGACAGCCAACTCAAAGAACCAGGCCTGGACTTTCATCATTTTAAGGTCACTTGGCCTTTGGTGTTTCAGTTTTTTGAGGGCACAAAGGCCAAGGGCATCAATAAAACAATGAGTCCACATAAATGATCAGTTTATCTCAAGGCTTGAGGATAATTTTACTTTTTTTTCAAATTTATTAAGGCTGAAGTAGGCAACGTTGGAGAAACAGGAAGAGACAACTAGATTTTAGTTTTATAGTATACAACCGAAAAACCCCCTCCCAAAGCACATCACCATGAGGGAACTGCCCATGAGTGCAGTGGCAGAGTGCACGCAGGTAGACAGGTAGGCTAAATTTATCATATCCACTTGAACGGCCAGGATCAGTTCTGTCTAATATTTTATAATGATTATTTTATTATGCCTTTATTTTACAAGGCAAGTTCTTTAAGAACAGTTTATTTACAATAATATAAGTAATAAACTACAATGTGAGAACGTTTTACCCCAAGACAGCAGACTGAGATCTGCTCATAAAGCAAGCTAGACCACCTCCAGATGTGGTCTCGCAGACTGGATTTCATTGCATGACAGCAAACTAGAATGCCAACATACTGCCACAGCGGCTGCACAGGAACCGAAGCATGAGATCTGCAGGAGATGAAGAGAGAGATTTGACCCACGGCCGGTTCATCATAGTTTCTGATGACGCAACGCAGTGATGATACAGACATGTCACAGAGGAATCAAGCATGAATAACATGGATCTGTCAGGCTTCTGTCTTTCTGCTTCAGCTGCAGAACCTCGATCCAGCAGTTGAACTGGTGATGAGGAGGAGGAGGATGTGGGCTGAAGCAATAACCAAAGCATCTCTCTCGCTTTTGTTTGGCCGAACTAAGTCTCAGCAAAGGAAACTGCTGTCTATAAAACATGGACAGAAACGAGGCCTTCGTGAAGTTCCTGCCCTGCAAAGAGCATTCAACAACAATAAACAACAAAAACAAAAATAAAATCAATTAAAATACAAATAGAATAGACCAGAAATACAGTTACAGTGCAAAAAAAACTGAATAAAAGAGCAGAGTGCATTTCAGATCATCAGGAAGTCGGTTCCATCTGTGAGCTGTATGGTTCTGACTCGAGGTTCTACCAGCTTACTGCTTCCTGTAAAGATCTAAGGTTCCTACTGGGTTTCATGTTCCGCAAAGAGATCAGAGATGTGTTGTTGGAGATTACTGAGTGATTCATAAATTAGCAGCAGCACTTTATTTAAGATTTAAGAACTGGCGAAGTGTGCTCAGCTCTCTCGGTTCTATCCCTGAAGGAGCTGAAGTCGTCCAACAGCCTTTGTGTTTTAGACCTGACAGGAGCTGAAGACCTGGCTCTTTGTTTGAGCTCTAGTTTCTTAATTGTGGTTTAAATCTCCTTTTAATTACTGGAGACAAATTAGCCAAAGTTGGGTGAACTAAAGTCAAGTAAGATATTATACCCAACGAGGCAGGTGGACAGTCAACGTTTCACGTCAGGTGATTCTTTGCCTCCTCATCACAGTTGTGGAATATCCATGTAGTTGTGGATTAATGGGCTTTAAAGACAGATGAGATGAGCTGTATGTGTTGTGTGTTGAGGTGTGGATAAAGCAGCCTATCTGATGGGCATCAACTCTGCTGACCTGCTGAAAGGCCTGCTGAACCCCCGCGTCAAAGTCGGAAACGAGTTCATCGTTAAAGGACAGACTGTTGAACAGGTAACCCATCAATCAATCAATCAATCAATCAATCAATCCATCCCGGTCTCTTCTACCACATCATGCTAACAGCAGTAGGATCACTGAAACCATTTATCTTTGCAGTCACCGGCCATTTAATGTGTGTGCAGGTCAACTATGCAGTGGCAGCTCTGGCCAAAGCCACCTATGACCGGATGTTTAACTGGCTGGTGAGTCGGATCAACTCCTCCTTATACACCTCTCTGCCTCGTCAGTACTTCATCGGAGTCCTCGACATCGCCGGCTTCGAGATCTTTGAGGTAAAGAGGAGCGAATGACATGAGACACATAGTCAAGTTTCCACTCTGTTCCAAACCCAGCTGACCGCTGGATGGATGTCCTGTGCGAAGCTACGCTAAACATGTCCCAGAACTATTCCTGTATTAGATGCACAGATTCTTATCTGAATCTATGAGAGATCCCCCAGAATTCACTTGGTTAAGTTAATATTTGATTTGGCCCCCAGTTCGTTTTTGTGACCTTCCCAGAAAATAAACGTTACCTTGTTGATCTCCAGAAATGTTAACCTTGACCTTAAAAGAAAAAGAATACAGGGTGCAGGAGGTTAAATTAACCATGAGAGTTGAATTTAACGTGGTGGGATTTGTAAAGGCTCCCTTAGCGCCTTTCCATTGAACTGTTCTTAGGCTAAGAAAAACGCCCACCGGCCGGTGATGAACACAGCTGCTAAATGTCGTCCATCTCTTTCTGCAGTTCAATAACTTTGAGCAGCTGTGCATCAACTTCACCAACGAGAAGCTGCAGCAGTATTTCAACCACCACATGTTCATCCTGGAGCAGGAGGAGTACAAGACTGAGGGGATAGAGTGGACCTTCATAGACTTCGGTTTGGACTTACAGGCCTGCATAGACCTCATAGAGAGGGTGTGTGTGTTTGTGCGTTACTCTTGGGTGGGCTTCGTCAGGAGGAGGTCATGTCTTACTGTGTTTGTAAAGTTCAATCATCTTTAACATCATGGAGGTAGAGATTAGTGTTGTAGTACTCAAGATCAGTCTGAGACCTTTAAAAAGTGGTCTCTCTCGTGTGGTCTCCAACGTTTTATTTCAAGACCACAACTAGTGGGAATATCAATAAATTGCCTGAGCACCTTCTGATTTATTTGTTAACATCCTTACTTTTACTATATAATATGAAGCAATTGTAAATCGATTTGGATGAAAGCGTCAGCTAAATGAATAAATGTAACTAGTTTCAGTTGCTGGAGCAACACAAGCTACTTAATTTAGTTAACAGATTGAGGGAAGTAGCTAATATATGCGGTGTTAACTTCGTGAGACATTGATGGGACGTTTTTGCTTGTTATAAACAATGACGAGACAGGCGGCATAACGCTATGTAGCTAATGTGCAAGCTAAGTTACTTCAACGTTAAGGCAAGGCAAGTTTATTTGTATAGCACATTTCAACAACAAGGTAATTCAAAATGCTTTACATAAAATATAAAAGCAACAGGGAAATATAAAAAAAGTTTAAAAGCAACGTAGGGAAATTGAAAAAATACACATTAAGTTATAGTGCAGTGTACAATCAGGGTTAAAAGCTATAAATGGAAAATAAAAACAGGCTGAGCAAATAATTGAAAATTATTTTGAAAAGAGAATAAACAGAGAAGTACATTTAATCTACTCTCTCTAGCTAGTCTGTACTCGGGTCCATTGCAATCTTTGGGTCCACTGAAACTCCAAAAACCCTCGGACACTACAGAGAAACCAGGACACGTCTGTCCACAAGCCACTTTGATCCAGTTATATTCTGGATCCACCTGCGCGTTTACAGGTGGACAGAGGTTCCTGCAAATCACTCAGGTGTGAGATTTAAGACCAAGGTTAGCTAATGTCAGCTGCATACAGCTCCTGAAATTATAGCTACTCAACCCCTCGAAGTCTTGGTCTTGTCTCGGTCACGATACACTTGGTTATGACTTTGTTTGGGTGGCCTTGACCACAACACTAGCAGAGATCCTTCACAAGTATTATCCAAGGAATATTAGCTTTATTTAGACAGATGAGGTAGAAGTGAATGATTCTGCATGGTCAAAGATGTTTTCAACGTTTTCCCTGAAGGAAAAGTGCATCTGATATAAAAATACTAAATAAATAAATCAATGTGGATTTCTTTCAGCCTATGGGTATTCTGTCCATCATGGAGGAGGAGTGTATGTTCCCCAAGGCCACGGAGCACAGCTTTAAAACCAAACTCTACGACAACCATCTGGGGAAGTCGCCCAACTTCCAGCGGCCGCGGCCGGACAAGAAGCGCAAATATGAGACGCACTTTGAGGTGGTTCACTATGCTGGAGTGGTGGGTCTCAGCTCATATTGTTCCTTTAAAGTTGCTTCTCATGTTAAAGTTACAGCAGTTGGAATTTGCCATATTTATTGATTTGAGTGCTGGTTCCCAATCAGAGAGGCTAGTAGTAAAATTATTATTATTATTATTAAACCTTTATTTAACCAGGAAAATCCCATTGAGATTACTAATCTCTTTTTCAAGGGAGTCCTGTCCAAGACAGCGGCACAGATCACAACAATTCAGTACATTTCAGACAATTTCATAACAATTTCATAAGACTATTTAAAAACATTTACAAACCATAGATTTCATTTCCAAACCTTTGAGCAAGAGTTTAAATTGGCCTATTGAAACCAGTTCCTTTAATTTCCAGAATTTTTGTAAATTGTTCCATGTTGTGGGGGCAGAAAAGTAAAATGCCACCTTACCAGCTTCTGTGCGGACACTTGGTACAGACAGTAGCAGTGAGTCTTGTGAGCCTAAAGAATACAGTCCAGCCCCTTTTGGTTGAATATATTCACACAGATATGAGGGGAGCAGACGCAGAATACCCTTATAAATAAACATATACCAATGACTGAGTCTACGGTTTTCCAGTGCTGGCCAGCCCACATGTGTATAAAGTTCACAGTGGTGTGTGCGAGGCTTACAGTTTGCGATAAACCTCAATGCAGCATAGTAAACAGAGTCCAATAGTTTCAATACTTGGGTCGGGGCATTCATATAAATGAGGTCACCATAATCCAGAATGGGTGTAAATGTTGCAGCTACAAGTTTCTTTTTTGCATTGAAAGAAAAACATAGCCTATTTCTAAAATAAAAGCCAATTTTCAGTCTCAGTTTCCTAACCAAATGTTCAACATGTCCTTTAAAACTAAGACTGTCATCAATTAAAATACCTAGATATTTAAAAGATTTTACTCTTTCGATTTCTGCCCCTTGAAGAGTGACAATTGGAGGACTTATGTATAAGATTTAGTTTGACCAGGTGCTGGTACAACAATAAACATGGATTACATGAGTACGCAGAGTACTGTATTATCTCTATAATGAGTGTTTTAGTTTGTAGTTAAGACTACAGTCAGCATATTTAAACTAGCTAACCTTGCATTTGACTCGTGCTCAATTCTGCATGTCTACGTTTCAACTGTGAAGGCTTAAGCTATGCAGGGGTAACCTTCTATGTTTTCAGATTATTTATAGAGAAATGTGTGAACGTTATTGTTACAGAGCTCCTAAAGTCATCCTAAACCCAGTGAATAATCTTTAATCTGTGGGCTTTATATCAGGTCACCGTACATCAGCTAAATTAAACATGCAATTTCGGATTTAGGAGGCCTTAATAGAAATATCTAACATAAAACATAGATTTGGAATGAAAAATGGAAGCACTGAAATTAAATAGAGTGGTGGCTTTTACAGTGTGTCTCTGCTCACTGTTGTTCGTCCAAACAGGTCTATGTACTAAAAAGCAAAACTCAGGTTCAAGAGATGCACCGAATGTTCGGCCACCGAAATGAATCGGCCGAAAATAGCAAAAAAAAGCTCTTTCGGTGTTCGGCCTAATACGTCAAAGGCTTGTGAGAAGGCGATTAAGTTAGCCGCACCTAAATTTGGAGTGCACACGTATTTTAGCCTTTATGGTAACTGAAACGGCCCAGAGCGAGCTGACAGGCAGGTTAGGTTATCCTGTCAGTGTTGCAGTATGAGAGTCCTACCTAAGTCTTACGCTGTACGAGAACCACATACAACATTTATCAAACTGGGTCGGACTGGATGACTTTAGTGCGAGGAGGAAACACACGTGACAACGTCCGGTTTCCAAAATAAGGCGTCTGTACAGGATGGAAATAAGATTATTTGGATTATATTCACAGAAAGTATAAAACAAAACTCGTGTCCATTAAAAGTAAATGGACGCGTGTAATTTACTTTACCGGACCCTCTCGGGCCCCGGACCCCCCACCACAGTCTCTCCACATGTGGGAAACACCATCTAATTTATGCAATGGTAAAAAAAGGAAAAAATGTTTTTACAGATGTTAAAACAACCACACACAGTTAGACCGTTCTCCGTAATTTACTGTTGCAAGGAAAAGATCCAAAGGAGAGGTGGAAGAGACAGAAAATGGCCTTGAGCCGGGCTCTTTGGGTCGATAAACTAAACTTGTAAAGACATCATTGCAGCACCTGATCATCTTTAAAAAAGCATAGATATGATTCAATTTTATTTATATACAAAAGTGACAAAAGTCGTCTTGGTGCTCTTTTCATGTGAGTCACTCCCAGACGGAAGTACTTTAATTCTTGGTTTATTCTTAAGGCCATGGCTATTAAAATATCATCCAACATACACTGAGACGTGGTTTGGTTTGTGGTTCTAGTATCAGGGATTCAAGGTGAAAACTTTTACTGTTGCAACCAAACCTTTCATTTCTGTTTTATCTTTGTTTTACAAGAAGAAACTTTGGCAAATCCAAATCACTGACTATAAGGGACTATAGTCTTTGTGTCGTCTGCTTAGACATAGTCAGATCGTAGCCAGTTGGAGCCTGTAGATCCTGAAAAGAAGAGACCAGAGAGACAGTTTTTGTTTGCTGAGCTGTGTACTGATCAACTATAGAGATACCAGCCTCACACTCTTCTCTGTTATGTTGTACGGTTGTGAAAAATCTATTCATGATCACAGTAGTTCTGTGTGTTTGTCTCCCTGTAGGTGCCGTACAATATCACAGGCTGGCTGGATAAGAACAGAGATCCTCTGAATGAGACGGTGGTGGTTCTGTTCCAGAAATCCTCCCACAAACTAATGGCTGGACTGTTCGAGAACTACACCAGTTCTGAGATGGGTAACTAGACAAACAGCCACTATATGAATGTTTAAAGTACGAGGCAGAAATCCAAGTGACGTGAACAAGTGTTTGTGCTGTTGTTTCAGCGGGTGATCCCAAGGCTGAGACCAAACACAGGAAGAGGAGAGGAGCTTCCTTCCAGACAGTTTCACAGTTACACAAGGTGAGCTGGACTGTTGTTCTTACCTGTGGTTGTGACAGATGCTGCAGAGCCGTGCATTCAGAATAAAGTGAACTACAAGGGAAACGGGTCAAAAAATATCTGGATTTAAAAGCAGAGACCGTCTTCGTCCCGGCCAAAAATAAACAGCCTGAAACGGAATACTTCTTCTACTTAATGCAACAAGGCTGGGCTTTGGTGCTCACCGCCATCTGTGTCATTTAGAGAAGGGGGTGGGGCCTAAGTGCAATTATAAAAGCAGCAACCCCCTGGATGGACTGTGATAGGCTGAGACTCTTGACAGGCACTACAGATGGTCTCCAACTCTTTCTCTGTTTGAATGCAGGAGAATCTCAACAAGCTGATGGCTAACCTCCGCAGCACTCAGCCCCACTTCGTCCGCTGCATCATCCCCAACGAGTCCAAGAACCCAGGTAACCAAACAACAGCGGCAGCAACACAAACAGTCTGTGGCCCCGCTATTGGCCCCATGGAGCCTGTAATGTTCATACCGCAAAGCTGTTTACTAACACATTAGCCAGGTTTCAGGTGTGATGACGAAGTTCTCGGAGACTCAGGATGACTTACACAGCTTTTGTTTATTGAAGCGAGGCTGAGGAGATCACAGTGTCAGCATACAACACCAAAACCCCCACAATATTTATGCTGTGCGCATTTTACACACGAGGTACAGCAGCATGACGTCAGTGATTATTAGATTTCTCCCGACAGGTTCGTCAGGATGAACTGACAGCAGCCTCTCTGATCATGAAAGTGATTTGTTTAAGCACAAACACACAGCCTATAGAAATCTATTTACCCATGATCCATCAGGGGAGCTAGCAGCTTGTTAAGAGGAGCCGAGCTCCCCTGTAGTTTGCACCCTGCGTACAATCTCAACCATCGGATTCCAGCAACAGGAAATAACGTTATCCTTTCACTCTTTGATTGGTTTTTCTGCTGCCGAAATGTTTCTTGGTGTTGGTGATTTATTAAAAAGACACACCACTTAATTTCGGGTTTAAATGCGATGAAACGCACGGTAGAGAGATTGTAACGGGTATAATATTACCAATTCTTTTGGGTAATGTGTTATATTATTGCGTTACAGCAAACAACAATACATTACTGTCATTGCGTTAGTTTTGTATCCCAACACAGCCAAACTGCTGATGTTTAGACTCCAGTGCAAAACCGACATCTCAATCAACTCTAATGCTTTCCAATAACAGACAGTGAGTCTGGAAACAGAGAAGATTCACTTATCAGTCAAGCTGTCGTCACCATGACAAGGAGGGAGACGGAGGCAAACAACTATGGCGGAAAAGTTCAGGGATCTTCTACTTCTGGGGTCAGCTAGTGACCCCAAGCGAGACCTGTACCTGAGCTGTGTCTGACCTGAAACCTGAATTAAGCCTGCTAATACAATCCCCTCAAACCATGCTAACATACATGGTTATTCTAATGTAAGCATAGTTCCAATACTTCCAACAGTCAAGGCATTTCAATTAGAACTTTAACTGATTATAGTTTCATTTCTCTACGAAATGTCAAAAAATTGAAAAAAGAATCAGTTTAAAAGTTTGCAGAAACTGAAACTAAAGAATGGAAACGTGTCCCGTCATGTGGAAGGACAGCAGACTGTCTTTGAAGATGTTTCAGGTGTCGCATTGTGTTTTCCAGGTGTGATGGATCCCTTCCTGGTCCTCCACCAGCTGAGGTGTAACGGGGTCCTCGAGGGGATCAGGATTTGCAGGAAGGGCTTTCCAAACCGCATCGTGTACGCAGAGTTCAAACAGCGGTCAGTCCCAAACCGGACCACACGCAGAAACACAAGTGTTTCTCACTCCGGATGTTCTCAGCTAGTACTTTTTAAGAATCTCTTTGCACGTTTCTTTCTCAGGTATCGCATCTTGAATCCTTCTGCGATTCCAGAGGACTCGTTTATGGACAGCAGGAAGGCTGTGGAGAAACTGCTGGGCTCTCTGGACATAGACCCCACCCAGTATAAGTTCGGACACTCTAAGGTGCAGTACAAATACTGTAAATATTACTACCGGGGTCTGAGGATAGAGGGGGTTGTATGTTGTCCTTACATCTGTTCGGAAAGCTGAGATGAAGATTAGATGGTGTTGCTCTATGATCTTCTCTGTTGGGTCCTCTCAGGTGTTTTTTAAGGCAGGTCTGTTGGGTCAGTTGGAGGACATGAGGGACGCCCGTCTGTCTCAGATCCTCACCATCGTTCAGGCCATGGCCAGAGGGAAGCTGATGAGGATGGAGCGACAAAAGATGATGCTGCAAAGGTCAATAAGACAACGTTTAGATAAAACAAATAAGCGCCTGCTTGTCTGAATGTCTGCCAGAAAGAAATGGATTCAATCTACAATGAAACTTTGGGAAAACATCGGCTGGATTATAAAGTTCAAGAGATTTGTTAGTTTTGGGGGTGGAAACTCAGGTGTGGTCTTTACTTCTTCCTCTCAGGGACGCTGTACTGGTGATTCAGTTCAACCTCAGGGCGTTCTTCTCTGTGAGGACGTGGCCGTGGATGATGCTGTTCTATAAGCTCCGCCCCCTGCTCAAGAGCGCCCAGGTGGAGAAAGAGCTGGCTGCTCTTAATGACAAATTCAACAAACTAAAAGAGGCCTTTGACAGGTCTGTCACCTGTTTGTATAATTTAATCAAATACATGCAGGCATTTATATCATGATAGAAGTCTGCTGCTCCGCCTCCTGCCTGTGTTGTCTGTCACTGTGGTTCACTGTTATGTTTTCTCCGTCAGGTCAGAGGTAAAGCGGCGGGATGCAGAGGAGCGGCAGGTGGTTTTGGTTCAGGAGAAAAACGACCTGGCTCTGCAACTCCAAGCTGTAAGCAAGCACTGAAACTTAAAGAATGACGAAGGGGTCAAAACTCCTAAGAAAGCTTGTACCATTTAGAACAACTTTACTGCCAGACCGACGCTTTTCGGCTTGTGACTGTCGTGTTGATTAGGTCATCCAGAAGGCCACAAGCCGCATTTTGACCTCTTCTGACTTTTTCCCTTCCCCATGCATCTTGAATGTAGGGGAAGTTGTGCCGGAAATCTCTGTTTATCTTCTAAAGTATTAAAAGGAACAATTCAAGATTTTTCTTACACCCATTTACACCTAGGATTAACTTGCAAACGGTGTCTGTAGCTCTTATCTGGATCAGGAAAAATAAATCTCAATGCAGTTGTAAATACACACAGAATACAATTACTATTGGTTCAACATCTGGGAGGTTTGTTGCTGTCCAGTGAAAACCATGCATATCCAATATTGGTAATTTATAATTATTCAGACAAAATTAAGGACTGAGGTTTGTGAATGGGTTAAGAAAATTCTCTTACTTGTTAAATTTAAAGGAGACCCATTAATCTGCTTTTCCAGACCTATATTGTAGTTCTGTGACTCCTATATGGCAGCTTTTCATGACTCAAAGTTAAAAAAAATAATTTTCTGTCTTAGACTGGCTCTTCATGTAGGCCTTCATTTCAGCCTCTGTCTGAAACGAGGGCTGTTTCTCAATCTGCGTTCTTGTCTGTTCATCAGTCGCAGCCAAAGTACTGTTCCAATTCAAATTACGCATCTAGCCAAGTACAGTCAAATACCCGGATGTGTTCTCACTTCGGATCACCAGAGTTCCCAGAATGCATTTCGCCGCCAATAAGCGGAAATGCCGGACAAGAAAACTCAGAACTCTAACTTATAATACTGCTGTTCTTGTGTCACATATAGTATTTTAAAGAGTTTTTTATGTGGGAATATAGTTGTTTAAACTACAAATATGTGGTTGATTTCTCAAGACAAAGCTGAGTTAAAAAATTGCTACGACGTTTTCGGAGATGTGAGGTTCCGCCCGCTAATGGGTCTGGCCGTCATCAAGCCCGCTGCTGTTCCAATTGCTGAATGACTGCTGAATGGAAGTTTGTACTCCAGAGCCGAACTTGCCAAGTCCGAGCTTTAAAGTACAGAAGTCCGAACTTGGCGAACTCGAGAGATAGATGGTAGATGCTCCTGTCTCTTTAAGGCCCCCCCTCTCAAAGCCCACTGTTTTCTGATTGGCCAAGAACTGAAGCATGTTACCAGGCTGTTGTTGTTGCTGGGCGGAACAGGCAGACTGAGCGTTGCTGTGGGAGCAAATGACCATATTTGTAACAGCAGCTCCGTCTGGCTCCGTGTGTCGTATTACGGAGCCGTTGGTAGAAAAAGCAGTTGAAAACAGAACATTCAGAACAGGAGGAAACCTGAGGTTTACGCTCACAGGGATTTCTTTTAAATACTTTAATCTCATTATTTGAAGCTTTGGCCAAGTTTAACATGAACATCCAACATTAACACATTGTAGGTCATAAAATGAGGAAAAGCATAATAGGTCTCCTTTAATAAACAATTTAAAAGATGATCTGCAAGCTGCCTTTCCTTTTAAGAATATTTAAATTTAGGAGATAAATTTAAGAGAGTTAGAACCAAATTCATTTCAAAATTAATTGCATCGATTACAGAGGTAGTTTAGCCTAGCTTAGCATAAAGACTGGAAGCAGGGGAAAACTACTAGTCTAGCTCCAAGTAAAAACAAAGTAAAAAAAAAAAAAAACTTTACTTTGAACATCTACAAAGTTGTTTGATTTACAAGTTAATAAAAATTTAATATCTGCAATTTTAGTGTGATTACTGGCCTCATTAGGTCATTAATACATATGTGTCTGAATTTCTTTTGTCAAAGGACAAACTTATCCCTGGTTTTGAAATAAAAGATTTGACCTAGTTGAGCTATTTTCATTTATTTAAAACAAGAAAGCCTTAGTGACCTTCTTTATTCAGCTAAACTCTCACTTTTCTTTAATACCTTTATAATTTGTTACATCTTTATCATTTTAATCATCCAGGAGCAGGATAACCTGATGGATGCAGAGGACCGCTGCAACCAGCTGATTCAGTCCAAAATCTCCCAGGAGTCGAAGCTGAAGGAGATGCAGGAACGTCTGGAGGATGAGGAGGAGGTGAGCGCCACGCTGACGTCCAAGAAACGTCAGCTGGAGGACGAGGTGGCGTCGCTGAAGAAAGACGTCGACGACTTGGAGATGACCCTGGCTAAAGTGGAGAGAGAGAGACATGGAGTGGAGAACAAGGTGTGTTGGCGAACAGCTATGTGTCCCTGCAGGATTCTTTCTTTCTCTTTTAGATTGAGAGCTTTAGTCTGGTGATGGGTGGAGCTAACAGGTTTAAATGTTTTTCTTTCCGTCCAGATGAAGAACCTGTCCCATGAGATGTGTGTTCTGGATGAAACCATATCGTCTCTGAGCAGAGAGAAAGCCGCCCTGCAGGAAGCTCACCAGCAGGTTCTGAATGACCTTCAGGCACACGAGGACAAGGTCAACATGCTGGCCAAAGCGAAAGCTCGGCTGGAGCAGCAAGTGGACAATGTAAGAAAAGTCTGCCTGAAGTGTGAAAATGTATATTTATTAACGTCTGTCGACATGCTGGGCTGGAAGAACTGCCTGACTGTAGATTGGTCTTGTCAGCCAAAAACTCCTCAATGAGCACAATGACCATCTAGAACAGGGGTATTCAATTAGATTTCAAAGAGGTCCAGTTAGAGAAAATTTCCTGAAGCAAAGGTCCGGAACATCAAAACGACGAACTTGCGTTATCATTCAGTACTATAACCTATAGTTGTATCAACACATGTTTTTAGTCAACAACGGACTGTCAAATCAAATAATATTTCCGTCAGTTTTAACATCAAACTGGAGGGATAATAAATAATAACTATTCAAATAATAAATTCTAAATTTAAGTAAACTAAATTAAAGTGCCTAATTTTTTGAAAAAATGTAATAAAAAGTGTAGCTTGAAGTGATGAAGTGTAGTCTTAACCAATTTTATAATAAACACACAAATGAACAGCTGTAATGCCTCCTCTTCTCTTTCATTTTCCTACTTTCTGTTGTTCAGTGAGAAACGTGAGCTCCAGCTAGCATATTGGAGATCTATGAGATATTCTGGTTTTGAACTGCCCGTGGGAGGAATGTACATGTAAAAATCTGTACATGCTTGATTAAAAGTCATGTGAAATCTCTTTTATCTTACGCTCCGTCACGAGGTAGTAAGTCTCAATAATAAATGGGCTGTAGGTCGGTGGTCCGGAGAGGACAGCAGCTGGGTCCGGATCCGGACCGCGGTCCGCCTATTAGTGACCTCTGATCTAGAACCTCCTAAATGGCCTTTAAAACCACCTATTGGATCTTTAAAGCCTCTTTTAATTATCACAAGAACAACCAAAGGAAGCTCTACAGTAGAACCTCTTAAAAAATAACTAACATTATCAACCAAATGTGAAGAAGTAACAGTTCTGACATCTATGTATTTTGTTGCAGAGATATCTACCCTTGCAGAGTAGTTAGCATGCTAACCATGTAGCCCCGGCCTGTTCTGGAGACAGTATAGCTCAGGCCTCCTCCTTAAGTCTAATAAATAAACTTACAAAATGGCAAGAAAGAAAATATTCTTACACCTATTTTTCTTTTCAAAAAAATACAACCGTACACCTTCGGTTTCTGTCTTTCACAGAACTTACCGCCTTGTTAACAGATCACAAAATAAAGCTCACCAGCACCGCCATGGATTGTCTTTCCACTTTTCCAACAATCGCCAGCTCTGGTTTGGTGAAATAAACCCGCAATTCAGTGAGTTAGATGTGAAATCTTTTTGCCTTTCTGATGCCTGATCTCCTACCTGATGTCTCTCCTGTCCCTGCCTGAACCCGGTGTCCACCCCAGAGACAAAGTCCTGGTCAGAGCCGCAGTAAATCCCCTCTTCTTGTATACCTTGTCATCCATCTGGCCTCCATCTGTCTCTGAGGCTGGTCCTGGTCGGGTCATGATCACCAGGAGGCTGCTGATCCCGGTTGCATTGCCTGCTCCCCCAGCTCCGATTCTAGTGCCCTTACTTCCCCAGGTCCGATTCTAGTGCCCTTTCTGGTTTCACTCAGCTAATAGGACAGCTTAGTTAGCTGCACGGCTAACTGAACTTGCTAGTTAAAGGCACTTAACAGCAGTTATAGACTGATGTGTGATATGCTGCCCCCCATTTTTTTGGAGTATGGATTTGACAGGTGGCCAGTCTCAGTTCTTACACATTCTATTTTTAATTATCACCAGAAATCTACACCCTAACCACCTACAGAATCCCTACAACCTCTTCAGCGACTATATGAATTACCCAACAAACCACTACAACCTGCTGGATGACACCAAAACTGCCTAAATGACCTGCTGAACCTGCTTAATAAGGCTTTTCATTACAACTACCCAAAGGATCCCTGGGACTTCCTAAAGGACAACTAGTACCAACTGAATGGCCATAAGGACCACCAGAAGGAACTCTAGAACCCTCTCAGTAACCATAAGGACAACCTGAAAGACATTTGCAACCACTTTCTGACCAGTAGATCATCCTAAAGAACCACTAGAAACTCCTGAAAGGCCATGAAAATCACCAAAAAAAAACTTGAATCTATTTAATGGCAATCAGAACTTCTTCAAGGATTTAAAGATCCTCTAGATCATTTACATATTGGTGTTAAATTTAAGTAAAACCCAACATAAAGTGCCTTCTAAGGTTTTGGAACACCTACAAGGTCGAGGTACTCTCTTTCTATGACTAAGCCTCCCCCCTCTCTTCCCTGCAGGTGGAAAGTTCCTTGGAGCTGGAGAAGAAGGTGCGCATAGATCTGGAACGAACCAAAAGGAAGCTGGAGGCAGATCTGAAGCTGTCCATGGACTCTGTGAGGGACCTGGAGAACCAGAAGGAAGAGCTGGAAGAGAGACTGAAGAAGTAAGAAAACACATGCTGCCTGACAAGAGAATTTCTCCACAAGGACGAGCTCAACTAAAAAATAAAGTTTAGTGTGTTTATTCCTTTCCCTTGATACTCTTTCTTTGTCTCCCTGAAGAAAAGACTTTGAGTTGGGTCAGCTTCAATCAAAAATGGAGGATGAACAGAGTTTGGCTGCTCAGCTTCAGAAGAAGATGAAAGAGCTTCAGGTTGGTGAGATTAATTCAGAATAGAACCCGTTTAGCTTCCTGATCGGCCCCTTCATCACTGCTGCTGCTTCTACAGGACTGTTTTGTGATTGCACCCTCAGACTCGAATTGAGGAGCTGGAGGAGGCGCTGGAGGCGGAGCGGGCGTGGCGTTCCAAAGCTGAGCGTCAGAGGAACGACATCGCCAGGGAGCTGGAGGAGCTTGGAGAAAAACTGGAAGAGGCTGGAGGAGCATCGGCCGCTCAGATCGCTCTCAACAGGTCATCATCATCTACAGTTATAATCCTCTAACGTCCAACAGCGGGTTGACAGTTTCGGTTTTATATTTGATGGATTGTAGTGAAATGGGGGTCAGACGTTCCGCTCAGGATCCCATCAAGTTGGTGATCCTCTGACTGTTAATCGGCATCATCAGGTCAACATGTTCATGGGTCCAATAGTTTTCTTTATGACCAAACATTATACCTGCTGAACATCAGCATTTTTATCAGCAGCTGTATCTAAGAACCGCCTTACAGAAGTGCTAGTAGTGTTGTAGTCAAGACCGCCCAAACCGAGACCAAGTCAAAACCAAGATCAGAGTTTACCGAGACAAGACAAAGACTTTTAGGGGCTGAGAACAAGTCAAGACCAAGACCGATGGAGGGCGAGACAGAGTCGAGACCAAGACCAGTTCCCCACATTACATGACACACAATAAAATGTGGAATAACATGAGAGGTGCTTCTCAAATCGATCTGAAAGATCCACATTCCCATTAAAACACTCACATACAAACACTAAGAGCTGAAATCAACGTAAGCATCTTTATTCAACACTCCTCTTCCACGCTTACCATCGCGGGGAGGGGGGACAGCCGTTAACGGAAACAACACATTTTTATTTAGGGTTATTGGTTGCATTTGAAGCAACGAGTTTTACATCTAATCAAAGTTAGTATGTTAACAAATCACACAATGCAAAAGCAATTTATTGATATTCCCAAAGTTACTTGACTGGTCTCAAAATAAAATCTCGAGTCCTCAATGTCCAAGACAGAGTACAAATGCGGTCAAGTCCGAGACGAAACCAAGACCATCAAAAAGTGGTCTTAAGACCGGTCTCGAGTACTACAACACTAGGTGCTAGCATGGCTGTCGACCCTTATGGCCTGGTTGCTCTTTGGAAAGTGGGACACCCAAAGTTCATCGACTTGTCCTCACCTGCTAGAGGTTTGGTGAAGCAATGGCTACTTTTTAGGGCTAGCTTGGAACTGGCTGTAGCTGCTGAGCTAACTGCTGATTCACAATAGCTCTCCAAGCAAGTTGCCTTGCTAATGGTCACTTACCATCTAGCAAGAACATTCGTTAAACGTTCACACAGTTTATTCAAGAGAAGCATTTGTACCATCGACTAATGTGTCATTACAGCCTGTAAATCTTGGTTGCGGAGCAGTTTATACTCCCGACTGGGCAGTAAGCAAGCTGAACCTCCGGCATTCTTTCGAACAGCCAGCAGGGGGCGACTCCTTTGGTTGCAAAAAGAAGTCCGGCTTCATTAGAAATAATGGTTAAATGTTTCTACTTCTTAGCTGATTTATTCCCTCAGTAAACACTTTCCTGAGAGTTTATGGTCTCAGTCGCTAGTTTCAAGTCTTCTTCCATTTAGTAAATTATGGTCCCATTTAGAGGAACAGAGACCAGGAAGCAGGGGAGGCTTTAGGGCGGGGCTACAAGCTGATTGACAAGTCTCCGTTGAAAAAGCTTATTAGGAGTCGGCTGTTCATTTTTTCCAGTAGGTACGTTTTGTTTTACCCCCTTTTTTTATTGCTAGCCAAAAATTAGCATCCCAGTTAAAATCACAGTTAACGTGAATTACAGATGCACCTTGCTAACCAGGCTTGCTATCGCTACCATCTCCTCCAGTTATGGTAACGTCTGGTGCTTTGTTACAAAATATCAACATGGTGGATACATCCAGTCTGTTATTATCCTGGATTTATTATTTTATAATACAAAAACTAACTAACTTAATGTTTCACAGTGTAGTCTAATGTAATGCAAAGGACTTGTGATTCCATTTATACATTTCATACATCGTAATGAGCTATCCAATACTATAATTGGTAAACCTACATTGTACCAATCTCAAGGAGGCAGCCATTGGTGAGATGCTTCTCCACTCAAATGTTTATTCAGTCTCTTAATCCTGTCTGCATTCTTTACACTGTACCTAAACATAGCATTGGACGCTGTGACTACAAAGTGTACCCAACTTCATGTCAAACAGGAAGAGGGAGGCAGACTTCCTGAAGATGCGACGGGAGCTGGAGGAGGCGGGGCTTCACCACGAGGCGACGGCCGCCACTCTGAGGAAGAAGCACTCGGACATGGTGGCAGAGCTCAGCGAGCAGATAGACGCTCTGCAGAGAACCAAACAGAAACTTGAGAAGGAGAAGGCCGAGTTCAGGCTGGAGGCCGACGACCTGGCTACTAATGTGGAGCAACTATCCAGGTCCAAGGTAAAAACAGCTTATAAAACAACCTTATAAAACTCCAAACTAAAGGAATAAAATTGGCTTTTTAAACTGTCTCTGGAGACTGTTGAGTCTATTTCTGATGGACAGGCTAAAGCTTCAAATCCACACTTTGATGCAAAAAGATAAAATGGTTTTAATAATTAATATGAAGCCACAAATATTAAAAGGTAATTTTTCAACTATTCCATATCCTGACTTTCTAATACCGATCCAGCTGCAAAGACCCTGGATACAACATTTTATTAGAGCCTCCCTGCCACACCTGCAGTTTTGTAATGAAGCTTTCTGTCAAAAATGTGTTGCCTCTGTGACACTGGACCAGATTCAATCATCAGTTGATACGGCTGCTTGTTTGATGACTTATGATCTACTTGTGTCTCTCTGTTTGTGCACAGGGAGCTGTGGAGAAGATGTGCAGGGTTTTGGAGGACCAGCTGAATGAAAGCAGGAGCAGAGCAGAGGAGCTGCAGAGACAGCTGACCGAAGTTTCTTCTCAGAAAGCACGAGCGGTCACAGAGACTGGTACAGCCATGGGCGTAAATCTCACCTCACAGTAGGGGGGGGACAATAAACATAAAATTTCTCAAGAGCAATTTTTGAAGGGGACACAAGTAATACAGCCAAAATCTTATTTTTATAGGATACATGCACACAGAGGGAAGTCTTGCTATTATCTTTCTGGTCAACAACACAAAGCAATAGTTGTTTAAATATGACTTAAGTTCATAGGTTCACAATGCGGCCATATTATCCTAAATGACTTGCGTCCTCTAGGCTACATAGTAATTTAGGTTTCTTCTGGGATAGAAGATGTCTCTTATACACACACACACACACACACACACACACACACACACACTATATATATATTATATATATGTACATGTTTATATATATGTGTACATGTTTTAATTTTCAAAAAACACCACATTTTTGTCATACTGCACATCGCTGCAGCTCTGTTTTAGCTACAGAGTGAAGCATCTCACTTCTATCCGATCTTTGTTTTAAGTTGCACATGCTCTGTACCTTTGGTAAGGACTAATGTACAATCACAAGCAGAGTGGTGGCGGGTCCTGACAAGCAAGGTAGTGTGATCCAAAACATTCAGAACGTCATGTTTCTCAATCCCAAGTTTGCCAAGTTCGGACTTCTGTACTTTAAAACTCAGACTTGGCAAGTTCGGCTCGGGGACTACAAACTCCCAGGAACAGGAGCACGCAGTCAGTCATTCAGCAATTGGAACAGCAGCGGACTTGATGGTGGCCAGACCCATTAGCGGGCGGGACCTCGCATCTCCGAAAACGTCGTTGCAAATTTTTAAATCAGCTCCATCTTGAGAAATCAACCTCATACTAAAACTATATTCCCGCAAAAAAAATACTCTTAAAACTGCATTCTGTGACACAATAACAGCAGTATTATAACTTACAGTTGTGAGTTTTCTCCTCCAACATTTCCGCTTTTTGGCGGCAAAATGCATTCTGGGATACCTGGCTATCCGAAGTCCACACAAGTCACCACCAAGTCCACAAGAACACAAGTACAGACAAGAATGCAGACTGAGAAACAGCTATGGGTTCAGAACATCTGTATATGTTCCCGAATCAGCTTTGCAACCTGTAATGAGGCAAGATGTTTCAGAGTTGTGAGTTATTAATTTGCAACAAATTTATCATTTATACGTAAAGTTTTAACTGAGCTCTGTCTCTACATCACAGCTTTATGTCCACTGACGACCAGGTGGGGGTTAGGGGAGTCAACAGGCGGACGTCTTGTCACTGTGTGTGCTCAGTGTGTTTCTCCACCAGTGTTTTTTTTTTGTGGGGGGGGGGGGCGTGCCACACCAGCCGCTAGGCGAACATTATGACACGTGTTACAAAGGGACTCAGATAGGTTATAGAAGTAAAGGCCGGACTACAATCCAGCTGTTTTCAGGCAGTCAGGAGCATTGGGTGATGGGAACTCCCTTTGAGCTAGACTTTTGGATTTTTTTCACTATGCAAACCTGTTACATGTACAAAAAAGGTGTATATACCACAATAAAAGAAAAGGGACAAAGTCAAAAAGCATAATAAAGACACTCCACCAACCCTATGATCAGTGGACGACCAGCTGTAACTCCTGAGTCACCAGAAACAACATTTGAGGACCTAATGAAGGAGGCTCGACTTACCCATGTTCATCTTCTTTTCCGTGTTGTTCTTGTAGCCGAGTACAGCCGTCGTCTGGAGGAGCGAGATGCTATGATTGGTCAACTCCAGCGCTCCAAGGCCGGGGTTTGCCAAAACTCTGAGGGTCTGAAGAGGCAGCTGGAGGAGGAGAGCAAAGTAACACTGAACCCTAATAACTCTCATCCATCATTTCAATTCTGTGCCCGCTGGGTGTCGCAGCTCTGTTTACATCCTATTTCATGCTAACAGCTGTACATAGATCTTAATAAGCCAGCTTGTGTTCCTCTCTGCTAAAGGTGTGTTAAAAGGAATATGGGAATCAGGTCCGTGGTTAAAAGTAATTACATATGTGTGTGTTTCAGACTCGTGTGGCGCTGGCTCACGCTTTGCAGGCGTCCCGTCATGACTGCAGTCTGCTGACAGAGCAGCTGGAAGCTGAGCAGGAGGCCAAGGCTGAACTGCAGAGGGAGCTGTCTAAAGCCAACAGCCAGGTGGTTCAGTGGAGAGCCAAGTACGAGACCGACGCTGTGCTGAGAATAGAGGAGCTGGAAGACGCAAAGTATGATACTCTGATACTACTACTACAACTACCACTGCTGTGACTGTTACTGCTGATGTTTTTCAGTATTCAAAAAAGTGTAACGATGAGTATGCGCAGACACAAGTATTACGTAACATATAGTTAGCTTTTAGGATTTAGGCTTCTGTTTGCGTTCCTTCAGCTTTTGCCTTTGTTGTGTAATTTTGTCTGACAAACTCTTTGATCCTTGGCAGTTAACTGAGCACTAAAGCCCTCCCCATTACAGTAACTGTCCGATCATAGCTTACTAACAGTAACTTGTGTGTCAGTGTTTGTATTTTTCCACAAGCGGTGTACGTGGAGCTGTGATCAAAGAGATACTGGAGATACTGGGCCTTTTTTTGTGATTTTGCGGCAGGTTTTCTAAAAAATTGCGATGAAGGTTGCGATGGTTTGGGGGGGGGGTTGCGATGAAATTGCAGGAATAACTGAAAACTGCAAAGGTAGATGACACTTGCCGGTGACTGTGATGCAGCATGTGACTCTTTGATTTGTCTCGTCTGTCTACCTGCATGTGTTTCTGACATTCTCCGCGTATGTGCATTTCTCTGTAAATTGGTAGACAAAATGTTTCTGTCCGCTTCTGAATTCATTCTGCTGCGACCATCATCAGTTCCATCATCAATAAATATTAATGAGCCTGTTCCAGAAGCAGCCATGCAGCCCAAACTGTTGTGCTTGCTCTGCCCAATGCTTGTCCAATGGCTCTGGTCGATTTTCTTTCTTTTCTCAGCTTGACAATGGCTTGCTTTTCTCCCATAGACAGCTCTCTGGTCTTCATGTTGGTTTATCCTCTTTAACAGGAAAAGCAGTCTTTATAGGTTTGAACCAAGGATGAAAACTTGTCATGCAGTGACTAGTGAACAATCAAGCTAAAAGGCAACAGCTAGGCAACAAGAAACATCTGTCAGTCACATGTTCCAATAGTTTTGCTCACTTGAAAAAATGGGTGGGTTCAAACAAAGGGTGGTTTGTCCTGAGTTGTTTAACACATCTAGATGTGAATACCAAGAACTGAGAGCTGAAATTCTGAACTCTTGTCTCATCTTTTGATCTTAAACCCAAATGTCTTCAGTGACAACAAAAACAAAGAATTTGCCTTCCTGTTCCAATACTTTTGGAGGGGACTGTCCTTGTTCCCCAGAGACTGAATCGTAATCATGTTGTTGACCTGCTGACCTTTCCTCTGGTTTTTCTACTTAACACTCAAAAATAATAACATCCAAAGTTAAAATTCATCCCCAGAGGATAAACCCCTTCAGATATCAATGAGACCATGACTTTTCTTCTAGCACCATCCACAGGTTTAAGTTTAAATGTTTAGCTCCACCACTGTTAAGACTCTACAAGTGTCTTTACCAGCTGCATAACAGCTCTGACCTGAAGCATATTTTTGTGGTTCAAGTTATTTCTTTTCCCAGCTGTGCGGTCGAGTACATGAGTTCTGGTGCTGTTGTTTGTAGGAAGAAGTTAGTCGTCAAACTGCAGACTGTCGAGGAAACGGTGGAGATGTCTCAAGCTAAATGTTCCTCCCTGGAGAAAACCAAACAGGGTCTCCAGACAGAGATTGAAGACCTGATGATTGAACTGGAGCGTTCCAACACTGCTGCTCTGGCTCTCGACAAGAAGCAACGCAACTTTGAAAAGGTCAGTCAGCAACGCCGGCCTTAAAGGTTCAGTGTGTAAGATTTAGTGGCATCTAGTGGTGAGGGTTGTGAATTGCAACCACCTGTCCAGTCTCCCGCTGCCCCCTAACCTTTCAAAGAGCGTCGGACAGCTACGGTGGCTGACAACAGCACAAAAGATGTCTCTTCTGAGACAGCAGAGAGTGGCCAGTCAAGAAATGAAGTTTCTTTATGTATATTTATTAAGAAATTATATTTACTTAAGTATTCAGTAAATGTGTTATTGTGACTTGGCGACTGACAGACAACATGGTTAATGTAACCCAAGAGTGTGAAACACTGTCACTGTTTCTGCACCGCAGTCATTTATAAACCACACATTAAATAAAGTTTTTACAAACTTTGACAAGTGAAACACATTCATTCTCTCTGTGATTATGGACCCTCGCCAAAACTGCACGCCAGCAATAATATCTGGCCAGCTGCCAGATTACGGTGCCTCGATAGCGGCAAAAAATATAAATAAATACTTTGATAGCTTTGCTGAAATAGATCTCAGTCATGACACCAACAGTTACTCAAATAATCACTTCCTCTTTAGTGGTTTTGCCCACAAAACAAAAGCGCGACAAGCATATATAGTGCAATGCTGTATTTAGAGATGAACTGAGCTTTTACTTGACACACCTCTGAAAGAGCTGTCAGAAAATGTGATTCCCTTAAATGTGCTCTGCCTGGAGATACTGGGGAAATGCAAAAAGCGTCCGTAGGTTGATGGATGTTGATCAAACACAGAAACAAAAACACTGCAGCACATGCTGTGATCTGAAAAACATTTGCCACAGAATCCATTTGTTGAAGAGAGAAAAACTGAAATATGCCCTAAGGTGGGATTGAACCCACAGCCCTTGGGTTGATAGCCCTGCCCATTACCAAGTGAGCTAACTGAACAACATATCAATATAGACCATTTAATGGTTGATTATTGCTCTGATGCAAAACTTTGCAGACCCCTGCAGTATACAGGTGCTGGTCATATAATTAGAATATCATCAAAAAGTTGATTTATTTCAGTAATTCCATTCAAAAAGTGAAACTTGTATAATGTATACATTCATTCCACACAGACTGATGTATTTCAAGTGTTCATTCCTTTTAATTTTGATGATTATCAGAAGTAGAACCAGAAGAATGTAGTGACAAAACACGCTCTGTAGCGCTGTTTGTCCGTTTTCAGCTACTGTAGAAACATGACGATGCAGCGTGGCAACGTCCATGGAAGGAGGTGCCCGCAGTTATGTAGATATAAATGACTCATTCTAAGGTAATAAAAACATAATGGTTTATTATGTAAGGTCTTTATAGACCACTGAAAACATAGTTATGGATATTATATTGCATTTCTGTCAATAGATCCTCAGAAATATGACACACTGGACCTTTATCCCATAATAAAATCGTAAACAATGTAGGAAATAAGATCCAATACTCACCACTTGTAGACATAGAAGGTGGCAGTAAGATAAGCAGTGTTTTCCATTTTGTTTGATGCAGTTGTTGAGTGACTGGAAGCTGAAGTTTGAGGAGAGTCAGATGGAACTGGAGGCGTCGCAGAGAGAGTCCCGCAGTCTGAGCACCGAGCTCTTCAAACTGAAGAACTGCTATGAAGAAGCTCTCGACCACCTGGAGACAGTTAAACGAGAAAACAGGAACCTGCAAGGTACAGTCTCCCTCACTCAGTCTTCTTCACTTAGATTAGCCACAATCCCGGAACCCATTGGCCATCGCTAGATGAAGATTTATCCTCTGGGGACAACGGCCAGTGTTTCGGGACTTGTAGCCGGTGTGACACCAAAATGTGTGACCTATCAGATTCTGTGACCCAAATGGCAAGTGAAGCGCCAGAGACTTTGTTGACGATGTAAAGCGGTTGCAGTTTGGTTGGGTTTAGGCACCAAAAGTACTTGGGTGGGTTTAGGCACCATAAGCACTTGGTTGGGTTTAGGCACCACAAGCACTTGGTTGGGTTTAGGTACCACAAGCACTTGGTTGAGTTTAGGCACCACAAGCACTTGGTTGGGTTTAGACACCACAAGCACTTGGTTGGGTTTAGGCACCAAAAGTACTTGGTTGGGTTTAGGCACCAAAAGTACTTGGGTGGGTTTAGGTACCACAAGCACTTGGTTGAGTTTAGGCACCACAAGCACTTGGTTGGGTTTAGACACCACAAGCACTTGGTTGGGTTTAGGCACCAAAAGTACTTGGTTGAGTTTAGGCACCAAAAGTACTTGGGTGGGTTTAGGTACCAACAGCACTTGGCTGGGTTTAGGTACCAAAAGTACTTGGTTGGGTTTAGGTACCAAAAGTACTTGGAGGTCTAGCAGGAACACAGGGGCAGCAGGTGACCCGCAGCCACAGATCCAGACTCCACAGCTCCAGAGCCAGAAACACCTGCAGGAAGTGATAGGAGGAGAGAGGAGAGGGACGAGAAAGCACAAGACTACTGGAAAGGGGAGAAGTTGTGTTAGTAACATGCAATAATGGGATGAGGTTGCATACAGAGGGAGAGAAAGTAGAGGAGAGAGGAGCTCAGTGCATCATGGGAAATCCCCCGCCAGTCTAGGCCTATAGCAGCATAACTAAGGGATGGTTCAGGACTCACTTGAGCCAGCCCTAACTATAAGCTTTATCAAAGAGGAAAGTCTTAAGCCTACTCTTAAATGTGGAGATGGTGTCTGCCTCCTGAACCCAAACTGGAACCTGGTTCCACAGGAGAGGAGCTTGATAGCTGAACGCTCTGGCTGCTAGTCTACTTTTGGAGACTCTAGGAACCACAAGTAACCCTGCATTCTGGGAGCGCAGTGCTCTGGTGGGGTAGTAAGGTACTATGAGCTCTTTAAGATAAGATGGTGCCTGACCATTAAGAGCTTTGTAGGTAAGAAGAATGATTTTAAATTCTATTCTGGATTTTACTGGAAGCCAATGCAAAGAAGCTAAGACAGGAGAAATGTGATCTCTTTTCCCGGTTCCTGTCAAAACACGTGCTGCAGCATTCTGGATCAGCTGAAGAGTCTTAATGGACTTTTTCGAGCAGCCTGATAATAAAGAATTGCAGTAATCCAGCCTAGAAGTAACAAATGCATGGACTAGTTTTTCTGCATAATTTTTAGTGTTCCTGATTTTCGCAATATTACGTAGGTGAAAAAAGGCGGTCCTTGAAATTTGCTTAATGTGAGACTTAAACCTGATCAAAGATAACTCCAAGATTCCTCACAGTGGTGCTGGAGGCCAAGACAGGTCTTGGTGGGGACAGGCCACCAAAACCTGGGACTGTCCCCGGAAAACGTCTGGTCACGCTATAATTCGCCAATGAGCAGATTTTGACCACTCTTCGTTTTTTGAGTGGGAATGTGTGGTTCACAAACTCCGTCAACTGTGGTGGAGTAGCATAACTTTGCTGTTTAAAAGGAGGTGATTGTCGGGTCAAGAATCGTCTTTTAGTGCCGTCCACGCATTTTAGGACTGAAAGCAAACATGGTGGCATCAAACCCTCTTTATGAACCTCTGATGCTGTTTTTTATTAATCTTCCAGGAAACCACAGCAGCAACGAACTTTACACCATCTCATTTCTTGAGAAACATTGAGCCACGGAAAATAGTTTCAGACTGTTTCACACTGACAGCTGCCTCACATCAGACCAAAGCAGCAGGCTGTGGTTGTTTTGGTTCTGACAAAATGTTGACTAACCATGCCTGGCTAACTGTTATGTAACTGTGTTTGCCTCCAGACGAGATACTGGACCTGACCGATCAGATCAGCCAAGGAGGGAAGACCATCAATGAGCTGGAGAGAATGAAGAAGCTCCTCGATGTGGAGAAGAGTGACATCAGGGCAGCCCTGGAGGAAGCAGAGGTAAACGACTTACCTGTTGTGGATACCTGTCAACTCTCTACCAATTAAACTGTTTCCTAAGCTACTGCATCTGCCACCTCTACCAACCAGGGTACTCTGGAGCACGAGGAGAGTAAGACCTTGAGATTTCAGATGGAGCTGCAGCAGATAAGGTCCGAGATCGAGCGCAAGATTTCAGAGAAAGATGAAGAGATCGACAACCTCAGGTACCAATCTACTGACAGTCTCCGCAGCCAATCAGAAGCCAGCACAATAAATGCGTTTGAGTAGTAATAGCAGTGCTGTCCACCAGGCGGAGCCACCAGCTCTCTCTGGAGACCATGCAGGCCACCTTGGAGGCGGAGGTTCGTAGTCGCAGTGAGGCGGTTCGTCTGAGGAAGAAGATGGAGTCTGACCTGAACGAGATGGAGGTTCAGCTGGGACAGGCTACCAGACAGGCAGCCGAGAGCCAGAGGATGATCAGACACCTACAGACACAGGTAGTCTCATCTGCTCCGCATTCATACCAAGAGATACCAAGACAATAAAGGCAAGGATGGATAAATTACTGAAGGCGACAGATACTCTAAGGCCGTCATGGTCGTCTTCTGAGTATCATGTCGACCTTTTGTTTTCAAAAAAAGGCAGTGGAGGGTGCAACAGGTATGCCAAAGTCAGAGAAGTCTTAAAGCAACATTTTGTTGAATGAAAGCCAACTCCGTGTTGGTCTTCATATCCAAAACAAAGCGGCGCTCTCTCTCCGTGACTCAAGCCTTTCTGATGTTGACCGTGTTTTGGTTGTTAGCAGGCTCCAAGTCCTTCGCTGGGGTGTTGTCAGTCGCCGTGTGTACAGATCAGAATCAGTAGGCAAGAGTCTCTGGAGCGCGCATGAACGACACAGCCTCCATAAACCAATGAATTATGGAGAAAATACGAACCTATTTCTTCACAAAGGAAGCAGCATAGTGGTCGTCAGAGGCGACCGAGAAAGCTGGCGAATGGTTCATCTAGAGGTTATAACCTGTTTACAATAAAAAGTGATTTATTTCAAACTACATATGGCACTTTATGCAAAAGCTCATGTTGCATTCTTGGCATTATGTAAAAGAATAAGTGAGGGAATCAGCTGATCAATGTGAACATATCTACACAAAGTAGGATGATATTACTTGTGTGCTGGATGCTTTCTAACATGTTAGCAAGAACAACTTATCCCGGTGAAGGTAAACCAGAGGTTGGATTTTCAGTTTGCTTCTCTGCTCCCTAGATATTTATTTGGATGTATAGTTGCTCTTCCTATGCTGCATGGCAGATCTCATTGTGTTGTGTGTCGCGTCCTCTCGTAGGTTAAAGAACAACAGGTGGACCTGGAAGATAAAGTCCAGCTGACCAATCAGCTCCGGGAACAGATTGTCCTGTTGGAGCGGCGTTGTACGCTGATGACGGCTGAGGAGGAGGAGCTGCGAGGGATCCTGGAGCAGACGGACCGCGTTCGCAGGACGGCCGAACAGGAGCTGGTGGAGGTCACAGAGAGAGCTCACCTGCTCGCCTCGCAGGTACGAACAGAAACGCACCCTGCAGGGCGCACCAACAGGACGGCTCACGATCAGCAGCAGCAGAGCGTGTGATAGGACTGTGTGTGGTGACCAGTGATTGATCAACGGACTGACTGTCTTTACTGACCGATTGATTTATCCGCTAAGTGACCATAGAGTGATTGACATTAATGCACTGACTGACTGCTTCAGTGATCGATGGACTAATCACCTGCCTTATTGACTAATCGACTGATCCACCAATTGTTGAATTGGATGATCGGTGAACTGACTGATCATTGAATTCCTGTGTTTCAGAACGCAGGTCTGGTGAACCAGAAGAGGAAGCTGGAGGCCGATCTGTCTCTGCTGACAGGAGAGGTGGACGAGGCGATGCAGGAGAGTCGCAGTGCTGAGGAGAAAGCCAAGAAGGCCATCACTGATGTCAGTCCTGACCTCTGACCCCTGTCCAAACCAAAACTAACCCTGAGGTTTTCACTGGTGTTCAGCTGCTTTATGTTGACCTCGTCTGCGGTCTTGTGTGTATGTTTGTGTTTCACCAGGCGGCTCTGATGGCGGAGGAGCTGAAGAAGGAGCAGGACAGCAGCAGCATGTTGGAGAGGATGAAGAGGAACGTGGAGTCAACGGCGAAGGGTACAAAAAATCTCAAACGCTGTTGAACTCACCTGTGCTGCTGCAGGTTGATGCTAACGGGGTCGTCGTGTGTCTCTGACAGAGCTGCAGGTCAAACTGGATGAGACGGAGCAGATGGCGCTGAAGGGGGGAAAGAAACAGCTCCATAAACTGGAGACAAGAGTGAGTGAAATTGTAAAATCGTCCAATCTTTCAACACTGCCACCAGTTTCATGGTCTTGGGCTTTAGTAGTGAAGAGCTGCAGAAAGAAAAGTGACTCGATGAGACATCTTCTGTGTGCAGGTGAGGGAGCTGCAGACGGAGCTGATGGTGGAGCAGAAGAGGAGCGAGGAATACCAGAAAGGAGTCCGTCGCTACGAGAGGAGAATCAAAGAGCTGACGTACCAGGTGTGATTACCTCCCATCATCCAGCTGCTGCTTCTGTCAGTATCAGACGGATGTTCTGCCGGTTCTTTGTTCTCTCCATGCTTTTGAACTGGTTCTCTTTGTGTCCCTGCAGACGGAGGAGGACAGGAAGACTCTGCTGAGGATGCAGGAGCTGGTCGATAAGCTTCAGACCAAAGTCAAGAGCTACAAGAGACAAGCCGAGAACGCAGTGAGTCTTCATTAATGTTTTATTATTACAATAAAATGACAATGTGTAAGGTGTCTCTGGTAGCCATGAACGTACGGAATCAGAATCAGAAGGAGCTTTATTGCAAAGTAGTGTTTTACACATACATTGGTGATAAGGTGCAACATGTAGACAAACATACAGCTGACATAAATAAATCTAGAAATATATAAATTTGGAATAAACAAATGCAAGTTATACGAAGTACTGCTACGGAAGAGATTATTGTGTACATAAATATATAAATTGACAATATAAAAATATACAACAACAACGATTAACAACAAATAGGTCTTTTACAGTTGCAGTCCTTTTTAGATACGCATGGTGTTCTTGAGGTGTTCCAATTGGTTTTAAGACATTTCATAGCACTGAATCTGCACTTTTAAGAGTTTTTAATAATCTTTTAATCTCAACTGACTCTGGAGATTGTGCAATTTTTATGCTTTTAGATCTTACAGCAGCATTTGACACAGTTGACCACAGCATCCTTATTTCTCACCTCGAACATGGCGTGGGGATTAAGGGCACCGCCTTAGAATGGTCATACTTGTCTGACAGATTTTAGAGTCAGTTTTGGTGGCTCTGTCTCACCGTCTGTGTCCCTCACATGTGGAGATCCCCAGGGTTCGATTCCCGGGCCAATTCTTTTTTCACTCTATTTGCTTCCCCTTGGATCAATCTTAAAAAGACATAACATCAGATTCCATCTCTACGCAGATGATTCGCAAATCTACCTGCCCATCAAAAGAAATGATGGTAGTTCTTTAACAAGGTTGATTGACTGCTTTAATAATATTAAAGCCTGGATGGCCTTAAATTTTTTTAACTTTAACGAGAGTAAAACTGAGGTCATTGTTTTTAGACCGAGTGGCGCCTCTGATGTCTCTCAAATAGACCTGGCCACTTTGCAACCTTATGTTAAGTCTGTACCTTGGAGTAAAAATGGATTGTGATTTTAAAATGGAGAAGCAGATCAATTCTGTTGTGAAAGCTAGTTTCTTTCAACTTCTTACTAAGTTTAAGCCCTTTTTATCCTTCACAGACTTTGAGAGGTTCATACATGCATTTGTCACAACACGCCTCGACTATTGTAATGCTCTGTATGTAGACGTTAGCCAGGCCTCCCTCTCTCGACTACAACTGGTTCAAAACGCTGCCACTCGTCTCCTTACTGGAACTCGTAAGCGAGATCACATCACCCCTGTTCTTGCCTCCCTTCACTGGCCCCCAGTTAATTTTAGGATTGATTTTTAGATTCTATTGTTTGTTTTTAAAGCCCTTCGTGGACTAGCTCCAGTCTATATCACTGATCTGTTGAAGCCGCATGCTCCTTCAAGGTCATTAAGGTTTGCGAACCAGTCACCTCTTGTTGTCCCTAAAACACGGCTCAAGAGCAGGGGGGATCGAGCTTTCTCAGTCGCAGCCCCGAGACTGTGGAATGAATTGCCTCTTCATGTCAGACTGGCACCAAGCCTTCCGGTTTTTAAATAGCGACTTAAAACACATTTGTATTCCTTGGCTTTTAATCTGGCATGAGAGCTGTATGTTGTATTTGTCTTGTGTTGTATTTTGTCTTTGGTCAACCTGGTTGTTTTAAATGTGCTTTAGAAATAAAGTTTGATTGATTGAACAAATATGTGCAGTGTGAACGGAAACTACAGAAAGTTATCAGCTAAATCTGCTGCTCCTCGGGTTTGTGGATCTTTAGAGTGAGTTTCAACTCACTTAAAGATCAACTTAAAGAGACATATATTTCCCTCAGGAGCTGGTGGATACCAAAAACAGAGCAAAAAGAGGGGGCAATACAAACATGACTCCACATGAATGTTGCTCTATAACTGGAGGTGGAAATAAGCAACTGTTTGCTAACAGGTTCAACTTCATCATCTGGTTTCTGGTGAACCCTCAGTGGCTATTAAAAAAAAGTTGTAGCAGATTTAAAGTAGAATGACAGCTGTCGCTTCTCTGTGTGTCCGCCAGGAGGAGCAGGTGAGCTGCAGCACGGTGCGTTTCAGGAAAGTCCAACACGAGCTGGACGCCGCCGAGGAGAGAGCCGACGTGGCCGAGACGACCGTGAACAAGCTGCGGATTCGGACCCGCGATCAGACCAACAAGGTCGTCATGGTGAGTCACGCACTTGAATCAGAAAGTGCTTCTTTATGATAAAAAATGTTGTTGTTGTTTCTAATTGGCTGTTTATGTTTCTGCAGATCGCTGAATGAAGCTCTGCTGCCTCTTCAAACACCACCAGTGTGTTTCTGGTGTTTGATTTGCTGTGTGTTTCTGTCTGATGTGTTTGTACTGAATACTCCAGGACCTTCTATTGTATGTAACCATGTCAGTATGTTTCTGGATTTCTCCACTGTAAAGCATTGCGAACCGGTTTGTACAGGAAGTGTTGAGGGTGCTGAGTACGTACGGGAGCTGGGATCGGGAGCTGGGATTGGCAGCAGCAGTCGAGCTGAGGCAGGTCCAGTATACGGGTTAGCAGTCCTGAACTGCTTTTAGTTTGTCACGCCGTCCTCAGTGAGTTTGTAATATTATTTACTGAGGTTATAAAGCTTTCAGTTTGATCACTGGTAGCATAGAAAAGCTGAGACAGTTGGAGCTGGCAAGAGTATTTCCTGGAAGCTGCCTCCATTTTCATTTGTGAGGAGTGAAAACTTTCCTGGTTGCAGACAGTTGAGGACAAATTGAGACTAAGTAATAAGTAATTCAAGACTAGTGGCTAGAGGTTACATACAGCGCATTATATTAAACCTGCATTAAAGCTGCAGTATGCAAAACCTTCGGCATCTGTCTCTGTTGCGTCGTATCACACCGCAAAGCCCCTCCCACCAAACCCACAAGTTGAACGGCAGCAGAAGTAACCCTGCAAAACCTCATCCCTCGTAGGGCTGGCTCTCCATGGCGTGAGTCTCGCCAAGGCCCTGGCCCCTCTCGCCTTGACTCGTCTTCTCACAGATTTGTAGGACAGCCAACAGCCCTCAACATGATTGGCCAGAGTTCCCCGTCACGAGCTACATTTTCTAAAAGCTGAAAAAACAGCCAAGAGGAGGTGCAGAAATCTAGTTTTCTCTCAGACCACTTGAATTACAATATGCTGACTCTGCAGCTCTCTGCTGCCTTTAGCTTCTTTTAGCTCATAGCTTTGGCGCATTCACTGTCTGGTTTAGTCCTTTAGGCTCTCGCCATATAAAACTGTAGGCAACCACCTTCTCAGCAGCAAATAGCGGATGGACACAGTTAGAGACCAGCTGGTTAACATACTGGAGCATTTAGCAGCTAGATCTTTCCCCAGGAGCTGGTGGAGACCAAAACCAGAGCTAAATGATCCTGCTGCTCTGTGTCTGCTGGATAGGTAGGTGGGTTTATTGTCACAATATAACAGGTTATATAATGAAATTGAATTTTGAAACTCCCTTCTGCTACACAGCAGACAATATACATTAATAAAGAATCAATTATGTAAAATGGTAACAGAAATAAACTATCATCACTGGAGCAGTGCTGAGGATGAATTAGAGTTTAAGAGTCAGATACCTTGGGGGGCGGGGGGGGAACTATCAGACTCTTAATCTCAGGGTGAACAGGCTGTGGCTGGGTGGGTACTGTCCTTTAGTATCCTTTGGACTCTTCGTAGGCACCTCAATGATATTGCTGGTGCTCTGGAAATGGGTACCAATGATCTTCTGAGCAGTTAGAATCACCCGATTGGATGTAGAAGTAGGCAGCTGTTTGCTAACATGTTACTATTTTATAAGGGCTGGATTTCAGTGCTCCCCAATTCTTCAGCACTGCTTAAACGTGATCACAGTTGGAAAACGCACAACCACAATTAGACATTCGTTAGACATTCATAATAAACCAGGCGCCTGTATTTAGACTATATGTTTGACTTTTGATGTGTGGGTTTTAAAAATAAATACCTGTTGACCTTGACAAACTGTTTGCCGACATCTTTAACTTCTTCTTCTACACCACACAACACCACACAAATCATAGCGTTCACCAACAACAACATTAACAATTACTCTGCAAACAAACACACACAAAGAAATACAAGGTTTATCCATAGACTGTATTCAGTGGACGCAGCCGCCGTGACGTCACCTGTTGGTTTGTGGACTACCGTTTTGAGGCTATGAGTTTGACTCACTCTTGGTTTTTTGGAACCAGACGTGAACATAATTGGACGAGAGCGTAGTGCCAGCTAGCTTGTTTTACAAAGTGGAATTGTAATTCATGTTAACTTTAATGCTAATTTTAGCTAGCAAAAAAAACAGGCTTAAAACAAGACAATAATAAACAATACACAGAGCAGCGGATACGAGTCGCCTCTATCCTGATTGACAGGTCGCCATGGTAGCGACTTGTCAATCAGCTTGTAACCCCGCCCTAAAGCCTCCCCTGCTTCCTGGTCTCTGTTCCTCTAAATGGGACCATAATTTACTAAATGAACATCATGCTGTGTTGAAGAAGACTTGAAACTAGCGACTGAGACCATAAACTCATCAGGAAAGTGTTTACTGAGGGAAGAAATCAGCTGACAAGTAGAAACATTTTCTCATAGATTGATAGCTAGCTAGCGTTACTCTTGACAGCCCCCCGAAGCCAATTACCCTAACCACAACCATCACCGAGTGTGTGCCTAAACTTAAGTTATTGATTATATACATTTCGACCGGTTAACCCTACAGCTGTGCACATCGGCCTCATGGCTAACATGCTAGCAGACAGAGTTAACCTCCTCCTTGTTGCTGTGCACTACCATCAACACTCCGCTAGATGGCGCTGTCGCAAAAGAACTACGGTCCTACTACTGCGGATTGCGGGGGTCCTGAAACTGCAGCCTCCGGTATTGCTGCTACATAATATTGCCCGGAGGTTTGTGCTTGGCGTTTGTTGCATCAACAGTTGAAAGTCTACTGCCCCCTAGAGGCTGCAGTGTTCATTACAGCCAAAATATGAATGTGTTGGACAGAACAAACGAAATCCTGATGATTTATCTGTTCTTAAGTTGTACTATTAATGAAGCTAAGGCCACGGGGTCTTGATCATGTGCCCCTATGTGACGACCTTGGGGTAAGATGGGTTGGAATAACCTGCAGCTGCAAACGTCTCATCCATGCTTGTTGCATTTTATTTTGCAATTTTCCAGGTACTACTTTTCATAGATGTAGCTAGCAATGAAAGGAACATGACATCTCAGATTTGGGTTGCCCAATATGAAGCTCTGACTGGTCGATGGTTGACAGTCTGTTCAACAGTCACTGAGACGTCATCCTTTGAAACAAGAAAGCTGTTAGACTATTAGACAACAATGACTTAACCCGTTCAAGCATCTCTAACGTGAATATTTGTTTTCTTTTATGATAGCAACCTAAAAATATTTAATATTAAAACATTTAGCGACCAAACAATCAGTTGAATAATTTATAATACAGCCCTTAGATTTAAACACAAACAAAAAAGGTGCATTTTAGCAATCGACACTTTATTCACAAACTAAAACCAAACACTGTGTCCACAGGCGAGTGGGGGACTGTACAGGTGTGTTACATCAGTATTTACTGGCCGCACAGGGCCAGGTTCACGTCACGTGTCGTCGTTTCTTGTCTCAACACAAACCTCTGTCGGTCCATTCATCCCTCCATCCTCCAATCAAAGTGCTCAGCAGTTTGTCCTTCAGCGTGTGTGTGTGTGTGTGTGTGTGTGCGTCCAGTTCAGAACCAGAAATCTGATCTGAAGCCTCAGCTGGTCCAGAACAATCCGATTCACCATTAGTCTTTAGAAAACACACCTAAACATTTAAAAATACATTCAAACACAACCGGGAGGTTTTTCCTAGACAGCAAATAGCACCGCAGAGCAAATACATTTGGGGTTAAAAAATAAACTATATAGACAGCAGACTGGTTGGCTGCACTCACACAGGAAGGGAAAAAAAATCCGCCTGAAACACTTTCACACTGTAGATCCACAACACGAGGCCACGTCCCACTCTGATGAGGGTCGACCGGAAACACAACAAATGTCAGATTTTGGTGTTTGAGGGCTTCTTTCTGTCTCCACCATATGTGGAAACAAACAAGCAGCCCAGATGTCCTGGGCAGCCTACATTAAATAAAGCCTAGTAGGTCTCAGGGGGATAAATTGTTCCCTAGAATCCCCAATTTGTGTATTTTGTCACCTCAGTTTAATAATTCAAAACCTTCAAACCTCAAATTGTGCCCTTAAAATACTAAAACTCAACATAATGTGGTATCAAACACTAAATCGTGCTCCACATTTGCTTTAATAATTCGCTCAAACTGGAAGTTGTCCCCTTCATGCGGCCACGACTTCATATCACTGAATCCTGATTCAGATTTTCAGGGACTTCATTATTTTTATTATTATTATTATAAAAAGCAGTTTAATCCGTCATAATTGTGACTTGAATATTGATATCAGAAACAGGCTGGAGTAACTGTAAATTAGGTGATTTGAGAACAAAATGATGCAATATTTAAATGGCCACATGAATCCATCATCAGAGGGCAGCTGGAGGTTATGATTTATCAAAAGACCCCTACCAGGCTGCATAACATGCCAAAGGAATATGGCACAGAGGAACAGCAGCTGTTACCTCATTGGTCTATAACATCGGCCAATCGGTAAAGCTGTTTCAGCTCACGCGCTGATGCCATAACATCTGAAACGTGTCGTCTACCTGCCGAGAAAAAAAACACCATTTGGGTTCTTCTGTACTGTCGCCCAGTGGTATAAAGAGAGAGCACGAAGAAGCTGGACACACCTTGTCTTTGTGCTGCTGACAGGCATTCTGGGAAATGTAGGAAATCAAACCAGAGAAAATAAAAATTAAATAATAATAAATGCGGTGAGATATTTGGATTCAACAGTCTGGAAGTGTCTGAGAGGCGAGCGACACACATCTGACGTCTTAATATTCTTGCTCATAATCGGCAAGCGCTGGCGGGCGGAAATCACCAGAACAGGTGTGTGCACAGTTATTTTTTTCACTTCCCGTGTGAATCCAGTCGTGGTTTTTCTACAGTTATATTTTACATTTTATAAGTTACATCTTCTAATTTAGAGCTCAGGACGTCTCTGACCAGGAGTTGGGATTCGGGCGAGGGAGAAAACGGAGGCTGAAAAATCTGCTAACAACAAAATCAGCTGAGAGGAGGAAACACCTGAAGTGAAAAGGAAACGTATGTGCAGGGGGAGAAGGTGAGTGGACGGCGATGTTTGATGGTTAACATGAGTAAAAAAATAATAATAATAACAAGTGGCGTCACAGAGCAAGAGCCGACATCTGCCTCTCATCTTGTGTTTTCTTCCTCGTTTGTTCTCATCGGGGCTTGCCGCATTGCATTGTGGGTACTGTAGTCAAGTCACCAGGTTAGTACAGCTGTAGCTCTGTTGCCAGTGAAGCCGCCGGTCGCCGCTGTAACCGGCGTTCAAGTTAGTGGAAGAAATTAAAAATAAAAATAAGGAAATGACATCACATTTACATCAGCGGTGATGTCAGAGTGTTCGACGTGGAAGTTTCGTCTTCTTCCGTCTCAGTCTGAGTTTAGTAACAACAACAACAACAACAGGGAGAGCGGGTCCTTTACTGGACTGTTAGAGAGACTACATATGAACATGTAAAACAAACATGGCTGCCGGGAGGTCACCTGACGAGGAGGAGGAGGAGGAGGAGGAAGAAGATGGGAGTTCTGGTTCTTCCCCCGTTCAACTGACGAGGTTCTCAGATTTTGCCGTCTCCTCCTCCTCCTCCTCCTCGATCTTCCTCTCCCTCCTCAGATCGAGGATGAGGAGGAAAAGCTGGTGAAGAAGTGCGCCGGGTGTTTTTCGTCCCGGCGTCTCCCTGAGCAGCGGGGCGGGGGTGGGGCCAGATGATGTCACAGAGACGGCAAAAGCTGATTGGCTGACCGGTGCTCCTTCAGGATTCTGTGGGCGGGGTCAGGAGCCTGCTCCAGCCAATCGGGAGACTTAGCCCTTCCAGCCGTCCCAGATTGGACCTCTGGGTCGACAGAACACAGAACCGCAGTCAGGTTACGAGCACAGTGAGCGTGTGTTTGTGTGTGAGAGTCAGCAGACAGACAGAAAACAGGCAGCAGCAGAAACAAGCAGCGAACCAGAGATCATCAGGTTTGTTGGGGGGGCTCATGCTACGTGCTAACATGCTTCTTAGCATGTTTAGCAGGTATAATGTTTCCTATGTTCCACATCTTTGTTTTGGTAGAAGCTGATCGGCAGCAGTGGCTCAGTTTGATCCTCCAGTCTACATGTCAAAATGTTCTCGAGCAAGAGACTGAACCATCTGATTTTTCCTGTAGGCTCTGCCGTCGGCGTGCCAGCGTGCCCCGTCCACACTGC